AAAGGGAAAGCGAATGAATGGGAAAAAGAGAGGGAGGAAGGGTAAGGAGGGGAGCGGATGGAGGGAGCTGAAGCAGAGTGATTTAACAGCAGCCTGGGAAAATAAATTAAGTCAAGGTTGCCGTGAGGACAGGTCGGAGTTTATTAAACAAAGGCACGTTTCCACCTGGTGGGGAGGCAGAGGTCGTGGGGAGTAGTGGTAACATGCCTCTCCTGGTGACACAGTCCAGATAGGGTATCTGACAAACTAGCGATTGTCCTTTTGAATCCAGCTCAAAATGGTTGCATATCTTATCATGTTAGGACCACCAGGCCCCAACCTAGTATGCCTATCATGGCCCCTCTTCAGCATCCCCCTTCCTCCCAGTGAGGAGAGGGCCACCTGGTGGCCACTTCGTCGTATTGCACTTCCACAACAACCATATAGTAGAACTAGGATTCTGAAAGGCTGGGTTGCAAGGCAATAAAGGAGGTTAGCGCCAGTGAGAGTGCATCAGTTGATGTCTTCTCCATTTACTGTCTATAAGGAAGATGGCTCTCCATTCCGCTGGGGGGTTATGAAAATGCCATTATATTTATAGGTGCTGGTCAATACAGGCCATTAACACTACATGATGGTGTATCAGGGCACCCGGCGTAGCAGGTAGTGAGTTGAATTACCTATTCCTACAGAACCCCTGATTAGACTGACAAGCCGCCAGCAATATCTAGTAAAAGTTTAATTGAACAGCTGCGTGTTGGAAGTGATTTATTTAAGAGGATAGGTGCAGAATGAGGGGGGAGCAAGAGGGAGAGGAAAACAGAGATGGGGGTGAAGGAGGTAGGGAGTCATTCAGGGAAATAGAGAGGAGGTATGGTTGACATAGAACAGTGTGAACATAATGAGAGTCGGTGCGTAAGAGGAAAGGATGAAAAGAGGGTTCCATTGGAGAACAGAACTGGCCCACTCACAGCAGCAACGACAGCATAAGGCATCACTCTTAAGAAGCTCTGGGTTCGGGTTGAGAAGCCGCGTGCTCGTTATTGTCTTGTGTAATCATTCAATCAATTGGTGGGAGTTGTTTTTCTCTTTTCATTTTTGTACGCTTTAAGATGTGTGTGGGGCCTTCCAAAAAGAAGCTTACCCAAATCGAGGGATTATGCCTTTTTTCCTCTTGTTTCCTTACTCCGTCAGTCCATCCCAGGTCTCCTGTATTTTCTGACATTCAATGAGCATTCGATTGAATCTGATATTTCGTTGATCTTTAGAAGTGCTGGACATGACATTTATCTCTCCATCAAATTAATATATGGCGTCAGTGTTTATGTTCTGTCGGCGACAGGGGCCGAGAGACGAGACTGCGCTTCAAGACGAATGGATAAGCTCTCTGAACCGCATAACAATAATATAATCCCCCCCGGAGATAATTTTACCTTGTCAAGTGTATCAGTATGCAAATTCCTCACAGTCATCCAGTATCCAATCACAATGTGACAACTTGCTTTTGTCCTGGCAGCATTTATTTATGCACAAAAGCCTCGCTTTCTTTACTCTCTCGCTTTCTCTCTCTACACACGGTATTTCTGCGTCCTTGCCATGACAAGTCTTCTGTATCACTTTTTTCTCCTTTGTGGGATACATGGTTTGTCAGTGTCTCTTATCATCCAATGCCTAGTAGCCGTTGTTTGACTATTGGTAGATGTATCTGCTGGTATACAGCACCGCAAACCATAGGAATTCTGAACTTTTCTTTATTCTCCTTTGGAATGGGCCATTTTTAACACAAGCCTGGGCCAAAATATAATTATGTATGCATAGTGATGTGAAAATGTCAGCAACTTGGTTTCAGAGAGGCACTGATTTTCTTGTTCTCCACGTCTGCTGGCAGCGCTGAGTTCCACTCGCCTTATCAAATAAATTGGAGAGCGTCTTTTTTCCCGATTGCTTCCACAGAAAGGTTATGGCTCACCCGAGGGTCTTCTGCTCATGGCTCCGGCTGATGGGAAAACTACTTAGAATAATTGTGTTCCAGGAGGATGGATTCCCAGCCACCGTCATCACTGCCACCACTGCGCAGTGTGTGTTTGTGCGTCTGTGTGCGCCTGTGTGTGTGTGTGGTTTGTTTGTGTGTGTGTGTGTGTAGTTTGGGTGCGTGTGTGTGTGTGTGTTTGTGTGTGCATATATCTGCATCTGCATCAGTGGCGTCAGGGCACAGAAAAGGGAGTCTCCACTCCACACGTCAGCCCACTCCACCACTTAAAGATAAAACAGGAACCCTCCTCCTCCCTCCCAGGCCAGCAGCCTCTGTTTTGGATCCTGCAATTGTGTTTTGTTTTAAGTAGTCAGTTTAAAACTTTTTCTCAGGGTCTGCTTGGTCTGTGGAAGCTATTTAACCCAGCCGTGACCTCAAATAATCAGGATAATTTAAAAGTTGTTTTCCATTCTGAGATAGATGGATTAGGAATACAAACACCGCTGTCACCAGGGGCTCTACGCTGACCTTTATTACAAGGACCACGTGTTTAGGAGCACAATTAAAAATATTTGAGATATTCAAGCTAGAATCCTTAATTCTTCTAGGCGCACTGGTGCTCCTAAATAAAAATTCCAGGTGGCACAGCAAAAATGATTAGGCGATTATGCAAGTAAAATGGTTGCACTGTACTGCCCTGGTTAACCTTTTTTGCGCTTGTCAAAACTGAATTTGTCTCTCTTTCGGCTTCCTTTGCCCTCGCCGCATAGGAGAATACACATTAAGCATGAGCAAATGGAGCCCTATCAGATCAACATTTATAAGTTTCTGCTCTGCATCTTCCAAAAGCCCCACTCAAAAGAAGTATAATAAGCTATTCTCTGTGCCTTTTGTTCTTTTCCCCTTAGATGATTTGTCAGATTAGTGTAAATCCCAACTGTCGGGTCATCCCTCGCTGTCCACGTCCCTTATCGTCTTTTGTTTTAGCAAGAGATTACTGAAGATGCTCATCATTCCCGACCCGTGGCGGCTGGCCCTTCATCTGGGCTTGGGCTGGCCACTCGGTTTACCATCAGACGAGCATCAGCAGTGTGACGAGTGCATCAGATCTTTTTGCGGCGCCGGGCGTCTTGTTGCGAAGCGAACATCTGTCCTGATGGCTTCCCCGCTGCTAATTATGGCAGAATGTCCACATGGTTAGAGATGGAGGCTGACGAGGTTCACATGTCCTCTTATTGACGTTCCTCTCATATTCCCACAATAATGAGCAGCCGGCATGTGCTTCTCCAGCAAGGCGATGCAAAACTAAGCTATTTCTCTCTCTTTGGGCCTGGTGAGACTTTACTTTTTATATAATGAACGGTTGTGAGGGACATCAGAAAGGATTATGGTCAATATTGTATTGTTTGCCGAACAGTAAATCTCAAGGTCTGGCATGCACAATATCTGAGATTACAATACTGCAATTCAATAAATAATTACTTAGGAATTACTTGTGGACCCTCAATGAACCCCTGTTGACGGGTGCCGTATTTAATACTCTTGTGTGCTATTTTCTACAGCAGTCGCTTGCGGCGCACTTTATAAGCATAATCCATTGTTGTCGTGACATTTTTGAAATAATAGCTTTGTCAGTGCAATTGAAGGCTTATGGAGTGGTATCAGAATGTTTTATTACATCAAGCTGCTACTTCAAGGATGCAAAGTCCTGGAAACATACAATAATGTTTCTCAAGCTTTCATAAACATACCATACATGTCGAGCTGTTATATCACGCACAGCCAAGTGCGTGATTGAATCACATGTCACATGACACATAAAACGGGCACCGCGTCAAGCACAGGGCCAAGGACTAAATAATATATTGTCATGGAATGGGAATATGTTGTGACTGCAGAACTCCAAGTGGAGAAGTTGTCTGTAAAGTGCCCCCTCAAACTAATAGAGCTTCAGTGGAAAAAGGCTTCGCTGGCCAAATGTAGCTGTCGAAGATGCCCTGTTTTTGCAGTAATTCAAAAGGGAGTGCCTTTGAGACGTTCATTTTTGTTCCTTTTTATTTACTTTTTTGCCTGCATTTATGCATTGACGTCTGCCGAGGTTATGAATGCAAAGGCTTGATATCCATTAGAGTTTAGGCCGCTAACAGTTGCACTGCGCTTCCTCTGTGAGCTGTTGTCACCATGGTCAGATGTTTGTTTTTTGGCACTCCCCACAGCAACATACAACTGCTAGCGACTACCAAAAAACTGAAATGCAATCTGTGAGTGGTTGGCATTCTCTAAGCAAAGGGTTTGTTGTGAATGCTTGATCATTTCACACACAGGCATTTCCTTAACAGTTAAGCAGAGCTAGGGGAGTTGTGTCTGGGAGAGCCTGGAAACGGGGAAGCAAAGTGAGGGAAGAGGCTAATATGACTGGATGGGCGCTAGACTTAAAGCACAACCAACTGTTTCTATAAATATTTTAGTTTCCAGTTAAAACCGGGCTCTTTTCTGTAATTTCACTGGTGTAAATGTGAAGAATAAACATATTGCCATGTTACACTACTTGGATTAATACTGCCTATTATTAATTGATTCAAATAACTTGAAACCACTACAACCCGGGTCTTGGTGTTGACTCCTTGACAACTTTAACCAGCTAGAGTCCCACTGTGTTCTGTCTTGTTTACCGGGAGTTGGTCTGTTCATCATAGCTTGGTACTGAAGGTGACACGTGGAGCTGAACTAGATCTTTAGAGCCGTCTTCTTTCATCTGAACCAAACCAATCCAACTCTGTTTGTGGGTATACTGTTTGGAAAGGGCACGCTCCAGGTGTGCACAATTATTCCACACAGATTCACTCCCCAAGGAAAAATTATTGCGATAACTGCAAACAGATTCCTATCTTGCCTTGCACTTTCAGAGATTTAACATTTGAAAAATAGGAATGTGCCACATCATCAATAAAGGTGTTTTTTTACATGACGGGCAGCTGCGCAGAGCTGGAGATAAGAGTAAACCAAAGCCTTGTTGAAAAACAGGGAGCTGCAGCCTCCTCTATTGGTCATGGCCCAGTCCTCAAAGTGGCGCCGCCGCTGCTTTATCAGGTGAGTGCAGAGGAAGCGGTTTAAAGGCAAAGGAAGGGAGCGTTTGAAAACCGGTTGGGGGTTAATCCGACAGAAAGATTTGCTGTCACCCTTTTAAAGTGTTTGGCCAGCCTTTGAATATGGTTACCAGAGCCTGAAGAAATAAGGTCAGAATTCCAATGTCTAGGTCACAGAACCTGTGAGGCATACTGCTGACTCTCAACCTCCCCAATTGCGCAATGGGTGGGAGTTTGCTGTTTTGACAGGCCTTAACTGTACACATCATCATGTTATGTTAATTAGTAACTGTCAGACCGTAGAAAAACACACGTTTTGGTTCCCCTCTGTATCTGCCACCGCAATGCAACAATAATTTCCTTCGGCAGGATATGAGTCAATTCTGTATCAGATGTGAACATTGGCAGTTGCAAGGTTTGATTTGCGATCCCCTCTATCTCCTTGGCTCGATCATTTTAATTTTCCCAGCATGCCCCACTAAAGAACATCTCCCTGCCAGCCAGGTTTTCTTCCTTCTCCTTCCTTCCAGCTCTTCATCTGCACGGCTCTGTGCGGGCTGCCGAACCTCAATGCTGTACTTAGAGTGATAAACAAGATACATTTCGGAGTGCTCAAGATGATTGTTGAGATTGCTGTTCATGATCCAGAGGCAAGGAGCTCCTGTCACTCAATACAGTTGCCTTCCGTTGCGTAGAGCCATCACTGGAATATTGTGTTTGAAGGTGCTTACCATAGCTGTCACTGGGAATGTTGTGTTTGAAGGTGTTAACCACAGTCTTTGACAATCTGAGCAATTTCCTGAAGACTAGATGGATGAAAGGCTATTCACCACTCCACATTAGCTAATTGTGCAAAACAACATTATTCTCCACAGGTTACATGCAACAATGAGTTAAAGAGAAGTCATTTCTTAAATGCTCTGTCAGAGCATTAATGTTTGCACTGAAAATATCCACTGACATTTTGGACCCCAGTGTATGAATTAGCTATATGGCCTTGAAGGATTAGGAGCATTTAGAGCTAACCGCTCCTGTTTAGCAGTCAGCCATTCCAGCGCAGCGCTTAATAGAAGTTGCCATGGCAGAAGGCATCTGCGTGGAATGAATAAATAATAGTCATGTCTTAGCCAAAGTAGCTCACACAGGCTCCTCCATTTGCCTCTTATCAGGCCTGCAAAGATGGCGAGAGTCTTACAGAATTGGTGCTTATTACTAGTCACAGCTGTACCTTTCTGATTCGCTATGTTCACTCATTCATCGGCTTCGTTTGAACGCAATGGCGAGCTAAATTCACATGGGTCACACCAGAGTAATACCTCATACCCTCTCATTTGTATGGGGAAATTAATCGGAGTCACTGAAATGGATCATAGTCTTAAAAACACTAGTACAGTACAATATTGAAGCTCTCTCAAAATATTATGGAACCAAAGCATATGGAGTGGGCTTTTATTGTTTGCATGATCCTTAATATACAGTTGGCTGGTTGAGAAATACTGTCAATCGTTATTCAAGCATTATTCAGACATTTATCCATGATTTCAAAATTCCAGTGCGATAGCCTTTGTCTTTACCGATATATCACCACATTGTCCATCTACATTAACTGTCATTGATTGATCTTTCAAAATTGCATTTGCCCCAATGTAATACAGTGTTGTGCACATGATGGAACTACAGTATACAAACAAACCGACAACCTCTGACCTCGCAGATAAATCATAGGCTGTTCATAAAGTTGATTCATTCCTTTATCTCTCGATTGCAGGGTCAAGGCGAAGAAAGGGGTGAATCTTCTGCAAACCAAGTCGAAGAATGCCCAGTGGACTGTGGACTGGGAGGTACAGTCCGGGGCAAAGCATTCCATCACCACCATCGACGTGAACAAGAACAAAGGAGTGCAAGCCGGGTAAGTCAACAGCCTAAGGCCTAAACACACAACATCCACCCAAACACCACAGAGTGAGGCTGTTGTGCCCAGCACACTGTTAACTTTAGGATGGTTTGTTCTGTGAAAGTCTAAATGAGACTTCTTCAAAACATCTCCTTGGCTGCAGTGGTGTCCTCAGGTTGCTGATAATAATACAGAAGTTATAGGCCTATTTTTAGTAAAGATATGGATACAGTTTTGGGTAGTCGTGCAAGAAATACTTGGATATACTCTGTCAAATAAATTGCTTAATTGCAAAGCCATAAAAATGCTTACACCAATGATGATTTAAACATTTCTCCTTGCTTGGCAGAAAGCTGATATGTTTGGAGGACAATCACATGAAACTTTAGTTTTCAAATGCATGCTTTTTACAGCTTGAGTATCAACTTAAGTGATATATCCATTTTATGTGTAGGCAAAACCAATTGAAATGCCAAAGTGATATATACAGTTTAACTTTTATACAGTGCCTTCAGAAAGTATTCATACTTTACAGCCTGAATTCAAAATAGATTAAATATATTTTTTTCTCACCCATCTACACACAATACACCATAATGACAAAGTGAATACATGTTTTTAGAAATGTCTGCTAATTTATTGAAAATGAAATACAGAAATATCTTATTTACATAAGTATATACACCCCTGAGTCAATACTTTGTAGAAGCACCTTTGGCAGCGATTACAGCTGTGAGTCTTTCTGGGTAAGTCTCTTACGTGCTTTCCACACCTGGATTGTGCAACATTTGCCCATTATTCTTTTCAAAATTCGTCAAGCTCTGTCAAATTGGTTGTTGATCATTGGTAGACAAGCATTTTCAGGTCTTGCCATAGATCTTCAAGTAGATTTAAGTCAAAACTGTAACGCGGCCACTCAGGAACATTCACTGTCTTCTTGGTAAATTCAGTGTAGATTTGGCCTTGTGTTTTCGGTTATTGTCCTGCTGAAAGGTGAATTCATCTCCCAGTGTCTGGTGGAACGCAGACTGAACCAGGTTCTCCTCTAGGATTTTGCCTGTGCTTAGCTCCATTCCGTTTATTTTTTATCCTGAAAACCTCCCCAGTCCTTAACGATTACAAGCATACCCATAATATGATGCAGCCATCATTATGCTTGAAAATATGGAGAATGGTACTCAGTAATGTGTTGTATTGGATTTGCCCCAAACAGAACACTTTGTATTCAGAACAAAACATGTATTGCTTTACCACATTTTTTGCAGCATTACTTTAGTGCCTTGTTGCAAACAGGATGCATGTTTTGAAATAGTTTTATTCTGTACAGGCTTCCTACTTTTCACTCTGTCAATTAGGTTAGTATTGTAGAGTAACTACAATGTTGTTGATCCATCCTCAGTTTTCTACTATCACAGCCATTACACTCTAACTGTTTTAAAGTCACCATTGGCCTTAAGGTGAAATCCCTGAGCGGTTTCCTTCCTCCCCGGCAACTGAGTTAGGAAGGATGCCTGTATCTTTATAGTGACTGGGTGTATTGATACACCATCCAAAGAGTAATTAATAACTTCACCATGCTCAAAGGTATATGTCTGCTTTTTTTTATTTATACCCATCCAACAATAGGTGCCCTTCTTTGCGAGACATTGGAAAAGCTCCCTGGTCTTTGTGGTTGAATCTGTGTTTGAAATTCACTGCTCGACTGAGGGACCTTACAGATAATTGTATGTGTGGTGTACAGAGATGAGGTAGTTATTCAAAAATCATGTTAAACACTGTGAGTCCATGCAACTTAATATGTGACTTGTTAAGCACAGTTTTACTCCTGAACTTATTTACGCTTGCCATAACAAAGGGGTTGAATGCTTATTGACTCAAGACATTTCAGGTTTTCATTTTTTCAGTGAATAAAATAAATAAATATATATATAATATATAAATGCAGGCTGTGACACAGCAAAATGTGGAAAAAGTCAAGGAGTGTGAACACTTTCTGAAGGCACTGTATGTTGCTGCATTGCAGTGCCATGGAGATGAGATTTTGTCATCGGCAAAAATGGCAGCACTATCTATGCCTGTCACTGGGCAGGGGTACCCATGATTATATACAGGCACATCACAGAACTCGGGCTACGTTCCAATATTCATACTAGGCTTCCTCTTAGAATGCATGCCCAATACATTGGATCATGGATCAGACCATTACTCTCATCAGTCCTAAAACACAGGCCCTCCATTTTGAATGAAGGCAGAAGCAGTGGAATTAGGTGCAGCTGAGGATGCAGGGAGGTAGCTAGCTTCTTAGCCTGTGATACAGCAGGACTGCTGGGCGGGCGAAGCCTGGCATTAGCTAACATAAATCACTAATACGCTCAACTCATTAACAAAGGAGGCATTAAGAGTTTGGGGTGCTTATCCTAAACCTCCAGAGCTATTTAGCCAGTGCAGATCCTAGTAATGCCACCGCCCATAGTTTCCACGGACTGTGGGGACTGGCCAAGTGGGTCTGGAGGGAGAGAGCGGAGGATTGGGGGGGGGGTTAGGGAGTGAGTGTAACAGACAAACAGTGACATTACCTGAATAAAAGATCAGCCAGTCTTCCTTTGTTCTCTCTCAATAAGGCACTTAGTGTCTGGCTTTCTCGCTATATTTAGCAGACCGTGTCAAGTCATCTTTGCCATCCTGTCACCATGTTGGAAATCCGGTCCGGCAGGGGGTCAAGCTAAAGACACATTGTGTCATCCCGGCTTTTGTCAGAGGCCCAGTCAAAAGTCATGAAGGTATTTTGGGCATAGATGTAAGTGTTAATTTGTGTGAATGGGGTTTGGCTTTTTTCTCGATCTCGGAACTAACCAATATGTATCCAATATGTGTTAAGATTGATACCCGTCATTGCTTTGATAAACGGCGAGAGGAAAGAAACGCTTATTGATCCTATTGCATCATTAACCTGCGACAATGTCCCTGAGTTCATATGTTACTTATGAGTTTTGCCTACATTTTAGAGCCCGGTAACAGTCGCCAAGGATAAATAGCCTGCAATTTCCTATTTTCCTTTGATTTAGCCTTCTAGCTGATAAAAAGCATTAAAGATGAGTGAATTCTCAAACTACAGTATTTAAGGCCCACTACACCCAGCTAAGAGCAATAACATTAATGGAGGGACCTTTTGTGAAGGCATATTTAACTGCCTTTTTGTGCCGACTTTGGTATATATTTTAGATAATGGACCATGCTGGGCTGCTTTATAAATGTGTCCACAAAAGTAGTATGAGTAGAACCATGCCAAAGAGGGTCCCAGTAGTTTTGTATTACCACATTAAGCCTAATAGGTTTAAAGCCTTCATTCGACATGGTTTAGCATAAAATCTAGGTCAATGATCATATTGTCATCTTCAATCATAAAGCGTGATCAATCTTCTGGGCGAACGCGGCGCTTGGGAGCATTTTACATTGCCTGCAAGATGAAAACATTACTTTCTTCCATAGCTTGGTGACATGTACGTTATACAAGGAACTAAGAATAGTCCATGCTTTTAATGTCAACCATGTGATTCTCTGTGTTGTCAAGGACTTCGGAGTTGTTATGACAACATGTAATCATTATAAGTGTTTGTCTTAATGTAAAGAATATGTAACATGTTAATGTGAAAAACTTCTTTGAGGAGCTGGTGGTTAACACCACCGACATAAACATGTACTTCATGGACTTCTGATTGGTGCACACCAGTATCTCACTCGTCACACGCAGCTACAGTGAGGGAAAAAAGTATTTGATCCCCTGCTGATTTTGTGCGTTTGCCCACTGACAAAGACATGATCAGTCTATAATTTTAATGGTAGGTTTATTTGAACAGTGAGAGACAGAATATAAAAAAAAAAATCCAGAAAAACGCATGTAAAAAATGTTATAAATTGATTTGCATTTTAATGAGGGAAATAGGTATTTGACCCCTCTGCAAAACATGACTTAGTACTTGGTGGCAAAACCCTTGTTGGCAATCACAGAGGTCAGACGTTTCTTATAGTTGGCCACCAGGTTTGCACACATCTCAGGAGGGATTTTGTCCCACTCCTCTTAGCAGATCTTCTCCAAGTCATTAAGGTTTCGAGGCTGACGTTTGGCAACTCGAACCTTCAGCTCCTTCCACAGATTTTCTATGGGATTAAGGTCTGGAGACTGGCTAGGCCACTCCAGGACCTTAATGTGCTTCTTCTTGAGCCACTCCTTTGTTGCCTTGGCCGTGTGTTTTGGGTCATTGTCATGCTGGAATACCCATCCACGACCCATTTTCAATGCCCTGGCTGAGGGAAGGAGGTTCTCACCCAAGATTTGACGGTACATGGCCCTGTCCATCATCCCTTTGATGCGGTGAAGTTGTCCTGTCCCCTTAGCAGAAAAACACCCCCAAAGCATAATGTTTCCACCTCCATGTTTGACGGTGGGGATGGTGTTCTTGGGGTCATAGGCAGCATTCCTCCTCCTCCAAACACGGCGAGTTGAGTTGATGCCAAAGAGCTCCATTATGGTCTCATCTGACCACAACACCTTCACCCAGTTCTCCTCTGAATCATTCAGATGTTCATTGGCAAACTTCAGACGGGCCTGTGTATGTGCTTTCTTGAGCAGGGGGACCTTGCGGGCGCTGCAGGATATCAGTCCTTCACGGCGTAGTGTGTTACCAATTGTTTTCTTGGTGACTATGGTCCCAGCTGCCTTGAGATCATTGACAAGATCCTCCCGTGTAGTTCTGGGCTGATTCCTCACCGTTCTCATGATCATTGCAACTCCACGAGGTGAGATCTTGCATGGAGCCCCAGGCCGAGGGAGATTCACTGTTCTTTTGGGTTTTTTTCCATTTGCGAATAATCGCACCAACTATTGTCACCTTCTCACCAAGCTGCTTGGCGATGGTCTTGTAGCCCATTCCAGCCTTGTGTAGGTCTACAATCTTGTCCCTGACATCCTTGGAGAGCTCTTTGGTCTTGGCCATGGTGGAGAGTTTGGAATCTGATTGATTGATTGCTTCTGTGGACAGGTGTCTTTTATACAGGTAACAAGATGAGATTAGGAGCACTCCCTTTAAGAGTGTGCTCCTAATCTCAGCTCGTTACCTGTATAAAAGACACCTGGGAGCCAGAAATCTTTCTGATTGAGAGGGGCTCAAATACTTATTTCCCTCATTAAAATGCAAATCAATTTATAACATTTTTGACATATTGTTCTGGATTTTGTTGTTGTTATTCTGTCTCTCACTGTTCAAATAACCTACCATTAAAATTATAGACTGATCATTTCTTGGTCAGTGGGCAAACGTACAAAATCAGCAGGGGATCAACACTGTATGTCTTTTTTTCAAAGGTCGTAACGCATCTTACCACTGAACTCATCTAAGTATAAATTATTTTTTAACACTTGTTTGAAGGATCTGTTTGAACACAGCTCAATCATCAAGTTTGCTGGCGACAACCGTGGTAGGCCATTCTCCAGGGGAGGAGAATGGCGCTGCATTGCATAGCAGCCGTTTTACGGGCTCCTGACAAATTCTGCTTTATATATTTTAATATTCTTTTTTTTACTTTTTTTGTACGTAATGTTTCTGCCATCGTTCCTATGACTGAAAAGAGCTTCTGGACATCAGAACAGCGATCACTAACCTCAATTTGGATGAAGATTTCTACTTCAACGAGTCGGAGGTGCAGGACATACGGCTCACCCCGGACCAGGCCCTAATCCCAGAGACATGGAAAAGAAAAAGGTGGTCTAAGAGAGGCCAATGTGCGGGCACCGAGACGAAACTGCTTCGACGAGTACATAAACCGCCTCTATTGGTGATCGTACAATCTCTGGAGAACAAACTGGATGAGCTCCGTTCGAGACGGTCCTATCAATGGGACCTGAAGAACTGTAATGCAGCAGACGCTCTTATCCAGAGCAAGTGCATACATTTTCATACTTTTTCGTACTGGTCGCCCATGGGAATTTAACCCACAACCCTAGTGTTGCAAGCGACATGCTCTACCAACTGAGCCACACGGGACCTAATATCCTATGTTTCATGGAGTTGTGGCTGAACAAGGACATGGATAATATACATCTAGATGGTTTTTCTACGCATCGGCAGGTCAGAACGGCAGCGTCGGGTAAGCTCAAGGGAGAAGGTGTGTGTCTCTTTGTTAACAACAGCTGGTGCACGATCTCTATTAAGAAAGTCTCGATTTTCTGCTCGCCTAAGTTAGAATATCTCATAATAAGCTGTAGACTTATGTTTTTGTGTTACTATTTCCTTTTTTATCTAGCAAATATTTTTCTTACTTTTTAACTCTGCATTGTTGGGAATGGGCTCATACAGTGCCTTCAGGAAGTATTCGTACCGCTTGACCTATTCCACATTTTGTTGTGTTACAGCCTGAATTTAAAATGTATTCAAAAATAATAATAATCAGGCCTCCCGAGTGGCGCAGTGGTCTAAGGCACTGCATCGCAGTGCTAGCTGTGCCACTAGAGATCCTGGTTCGAGTCGAATTGGCCCAGCGTCGTCCAGGTTAGGGGAGGGTTTTGCCGGCAGGGATGTTTTTGTCCCATCGCGCACTAGCGACTCCTGTGGCGGGCTGGGCGCAGTGCACACTTAACCTGGCTTCCAGGTTAAGCGGGCATTGTGTCAAGAAGCGGCTCGGTTGGGTTATGTTTTGGAGGACGCACGGCTCTCAACCTTCACCTCTCCCGTGTCCGTACAGGAGTTGCAGCGATGGGACAAGACTGTAACTACCAATTGGATACCACGAAATTGGGGAGATAAAGGGGTAAAAACTAAAACTAAATAATAATAAAAGAAACAAAAACAAAACAAAATTGAAAATGGAATACAGGAATATCTCATATACTTAGATTTTTAAGCCGATTTAAGTCAAAACTAGGCCACTCAGGAACATTCAATGTCATCTTGGTAAGCAAATCCAGTGTATTATGTTTTAGGTTATTGTCCTGCTGACAGGTGAATTTGTCTCCCAGTGTCTGTTGGAAAGCAGACTGAACCATGTTTTCCTCTAGGATTTTGCCTGTGCTTAGCTCTATGATGTTTATTTTTATCCAAAAAAAACTCCCTTGCCGATGACAAGCATACCCTTAACATGATGCAGCCACCACCATGCTTGAAAGTCTGAAGAGTGGTACTCAGTGATGTGTTGTGTTGGATTTGCCCCAAACATAACGCTTTGTATTAAGGACATAAAGTTAATTCCTTTGCCGCATTTTTTGCAGTTTTACTTTAGTGCCTTATTGTAAACAGGATGCACGTTTTGAAATAGTTTTATTATGTACAGGCTTCCTTCTTTTCACTTTGTCATTTAGGTTAGTGTTGTGGAGTAAACGCAATGTTATTGATCCATCCTCAGTTTTCTCCTATCACAGCCATTACACTCTAACTGTTTTAAAGTCACAATTGGCCTTAAGGTGAAATCCCTGATCAGTTTCCTTCCTCTCCAGCAACTGAGTTAGGAAGGACGCCTGTATCTTTGTAGTGACTGGGTGTATTGATACACCATCCACAGTGTAATTAATAACTTCACAATGCTCAAAGGGATATTCAATGTGTGCTTTTATTTTATTTTATCCATCTACCAATCAGTGCCCTTCTTTGCGAGGCATTGTAAAAGCTCCCTGGTCTTTGTGGTTGAATCTGTGTTTGAAATTCACTGCTCGACTTACAGATAATTGTATGTGTGAGGGACAGGGATGAGGAAGTCATTCAAAAATCATGTTAAACACTATTAGTGCACACAGAGTGAGTCCATGCAACTTATTATGTGACTTGTTAAGCCCATTTTTACTCCTAAACTTATTTAGGCTTTGCCATAACAAAGGGGTTGAATACTTATTGACTCAAGATATTTCAGCTTTTCATTTTTTATTAATTTGTACAAATGTCTAAAAACATAATTCCACTTTGACATTATGGGGTACTGTGTGTAGGCCAGTAACCCAAAATCTAAATTTAATCCATTTGAAATTCAGGGGGTGTGAATACTTTCTGAAGGCACTGTAAGTACGCTTGTCACTGTAAAGTCTACACCTGTTGTATTTGGCGCATGCTATTTACCAAGAGAGTTTTCATCTATAGTTTTCGTAGCTGTCTATTTACCACCACAAACCGATGCTGGCACTAAGATCCCACTCAACGAGCTGCATAGGGCCATAAGCAAACAAGAAAATTTTCATCAGAATTGTGACCTCCCCTTTTTTAACACATCACTGGGGGCACACTGCCTGCCCTCCAGCACATCTACAGCACCCGGTGTCACAGGAAGGCCAAGAAAATCATCAAGGACCTCAGCCACCCAAGCCAATGCCTGTTCACCCCGCTACCATCTAGAAGGCAGAGACAGTACAGGTGCATCAAAGCTTGGACCAAGAGAATGAAAAACAGCTTCTAACTCCAGGCCATCAGACTGTTAAATAGTCACCAATATCCGGCCTCCGCCCAGTACCCTGCCCTGAACCTTAGTCACTGTTACTAGCCGTCTACCACCCAGTACTCTACCCTGTAGCTTAGAGACTACTGCCCTATGTACATAGTTATTGAACACTGGTCACTTTAATTTTTACATACTGTTTTACCCACTTCATACAGTGCCTTCAGAAAGTATTCACACCCTTTTCCTTTTTCCTTTTTGTTGTTGTGTTACAGCCTGAATTTCAAATGGATTAAATTGAGATTTTTGGTCACTGGCCCACACACAATATCCCATAATGTCAAAGTGGAATTATGTTTTTCAAAATTTTACAAATTAACTAAAAATGAAAAGCTGAAATGTCTTGAGTCAATAAGTATTCAACCCCTTTGTTATGACAAGCCTAAATAAGTTCAGGAGTAAAAATGTGCTTAACAAGTCACATAATAAGTTGCATGGAATAATGTTGGAATAGTGTTTAACATGATTTTTTAATGACTACCTCATCTCTGCACCCCACACAGCAGTGAATTTAAACCACAAAGACCAGAGTGGTTATACTATTGCCTTGCAAAGAAGGGCACCTATTGGGTAGATGGGTAAAAATAAAAAAGCAGACATTGAATATCCCTTTGTGCATGGTGAAATTATTAATTACACGTTGGATGGTGTATCAATACACCCAGTCACTACAAAGATATAGGCGTCCGCCCTAACTCAGTTGCCAGTGAGGAAGGAAACCGCTCAGGGATTTCACCATGAAACAGTTAGTTTAATGGCTGTGATGGGAGAAAACTGAGGATGGATCAACAACATTGTAGTTACTCCACAATACTAACCTAATTGACATACTGAAAAGAAGGAAGCCTGTACAGAATGAAACATATTCCAAAATGCATCCTATTTTTAACAAGGCACTAAAGTAAAACTGCAAAACATGTGGCAAAGCAATTAACTTTTTGTCCTGGGGCAAATCCAATACAACACACATTACTGAGTATCACTCTCAATATTTTCAAGCATAGTGGTGGCTGCATCATGTTATGGGTATGCTTGTAATCGTTAAGAACTGGTACGTTTTTCACGATAAAAAAGAAATGGAATGGAAATACGCACAGGCACAATCATAGAGGAAAACCTGATTCAGTCTGCTCTCCACCAGACACTGGGAGATTAATTCACCTTTTAGCACCGGAGTTGCTTACCAAGAAGAAATTGGATTTTCCTGAGTGGCCGAGTTAGGGTTTAGACTTAAATCTACTTGAAAATCCATGGCAAGACCTGAAAATGGTTGTCTACCAATGATCAACAACCAATTTGACAGAGCTTGAATAATTGTTCAAAGAATAATGGGAAAATGTTGCACAATCCAGGTGTGGAAAGCTCTTAGAGACTTACCCATGAAGACTCACAGCTGTAGTCACTGCCAAAGGTGCTTCTACAAAGTATTCACTCGGGTGTGAATACTTATGTAAATGAGATATTCCCCCAAAAGAGTTAAGAAAGACATGAAGAAATATCAGAACTTGCAATGTCAGAACCCAATCGAACATCTCTGGAGAGACTTGAAAATAGTTGTGCAGCGACCCTCCCCATCCAACCTGACAGAGCTTTGAGAGGATCTGCAGAGAAGAATGGGAGAAACTCCCCAAATACAGGTGTGCCAAGCTTGTAGCGTCATACCCAAGAAGACTCGCAGCTGTCATCGCTGCCAACAAAGTACTAAGTAAAGGGTCTGAATACTTATGTAAATGTTATATTTCAGTTTCTTTATTTGTATACCTTTGCACCACTTTATAAAAACGGGTTTTTGCTTTGTCATTATGGGGTATTGTGTGTAGATTGATGAGGAAAAAAACAATTTAATCCATTTTAGAATAAGGCTGTAACGTAACAAAATGTGGAAAAAGTCAAAGGGTCTGAATACTTTCCGAATGCACTGTATATATATATACAGTGCATTCGGAGAGTAATAATACCCAATACCCCATAATGCCAAAGCAAAAAAAAAAAAAAAAAAAAAACATTATTTACATAAGTATTAAGACACTTTACTCAGTACTTTGTTGAAGCACCTTTGGCAGCGATTACAGTCTCGAGTCGTCTTGGGTATGACGCTACAACCTTCGCACACCTGTATTTGGTGAGTTTCTCCCATTCTTCTCTGCAGATCCTCTCAAGCTCTGTCAGGTTTGATGGGGAGCACAACTATTTTCAGGTCTCTCCAGAGATTTTCGATCGGGTTGAAGTCCGGGCTCTGGCTTGGACACTCATGGACATTCAGAGAATACTTTCAGAATGCACATGTATTGTTAGGTATTACTACACTGTTGAAGCTAGAAACAATCATTTCACTGCACCTGTGATAACATCTGCAAAATATGTGTACACAACCAATACAATTTGATTTGATTTGTTCGGTTGATCTGCAAGTCATCACAAACTAGTCTATTTAGAGGACAGGTTGCATTCTTCTGAACATGGCGGCACCTTTGATACAATTGACATTCTGTTTTTTGGCCTTATTTTTCCCCCACACCAGAATCTATTCTAAGCGCAGGCCCATTTACATCCAGCTTTAGCACAACACTGCTTAACGCTTTATTGTTGTCTGCATCCTCCTTCACCTCTCGCTATGCACTGTACTAGACTATCGGTTTTTGCCAATGGCTTCCTAATCATGGCAATATTCATTTTGTAAATGCAGTGTCCTACCATGTCCCTGTAGAGACAACAGGAAAATCAGTTTTGATGGGAATTGATTTCCGGCTAACAAATTTAGAGGTCTGTAATTTTTATCATAGGTACACTTCAACTGTGAGAGACGGAATCTAAAACAAAAATCCAGAAAATCACATTGTATGATTTTTAAGTAATTAATTTGCATTTTATTAAATAAATAAATAAATAAAAATGTCATTTATCAGACGCTTTTATCCAAAGCGACTTACAGTCATGCGTGCATACATTTTTTTTTTTTTTTTGTGTATGGGTGGTCCCGGGGATCGAACCCACTACCTTGGCGTTACAAGCGCCATGCTCTACCAGCTGAGCTACAGAGGTATTTGATACATCAGAAAAGCAGACCTTAATATTTGGTACAGAAACATTTGTTTGCAATTACAGAGATCATACGTTTCCTGTAGGTCTTGACCAGGTTTGCACACACTGCAGCAGGGATTTTGGCCCACTCCTCCATACAGACCTTCTCCAGATCCTTCAGGTTTCGGGGCTGTCGCTGGGCAATACGGACTTTCAGCTCCCTCCAAAGATGTTCTATTGGGTTCAGGTCTGGAGACTGGCTAGGCCACTCCAGGACCTTGAGATGCTTCTTACGGAGCCACTCCTTAGTTGCCCTGAATGTGTGTTTCAGGTCGTTGTCATGCTGGAAGACCCAGCCACGACCCATCTTCAACGCTCTTACTGAGGGAAGGAGGTTGTTGGCCAAGATCTCGCGATACATGGCCCCATCCAACCTCCCCTCAATACGGTGCAGTCGTCCTGTCCCCTTTGCAGAAAAGCATCCCCAAAGAATGATGTTTCCACCTCCATGCTTCACGGTTGGGATGGTGTACTTGGGGTTGTACTCATCCTTCTTCAAACACGGCGAGTGGAGTTTAGACCAAAAAGCTCTATTTTTGTCTCATCAGACCACATGACCTTCTCCCATTCCTCCTCTGGATCATCCAGATGGTCATTGGCAAACTTCAGACGGGCCTGGACATGCGCTGGCTTGCGCTGGCTTGTGCGCTGCAGGATTTTAATCCATGACGGCGTAGTGTGTTATTAATGGTTTTCATTGAGACTGTGGTCCCAGCTCTCTTCAGGTCATTGACCAGGTCCTGCCGTGTAGTTCTGGGCTGATCCCTCACCTTCCTCATGATCATTGATGCCCCACGAGGTGAGATCTTGCATGGAGCCCCAGACCGAGGGTGATTGACCGTCATCTTGAACTTCTTCCATTTTCTAATAATTGCGCCAACAGTTGTTGCCTTCTCACCAAGCTGCTTGCCTATTGTCCTGTAGCCCATCCCAGCCTTGTGCAGTTCTACAATTTTATCCCTGATGTCCTTACACAGCTCTCTGGTCTTGGCCATTGTGGAGAGGTTGGACTCTGTTTGATTGAGTGTGTGGACAGGTGTCTTTTATACAGATAACGAGTTCAAACAGGTGCAGTTAATACAGGTAATGAGTGAAGAACAGGAGGGCTTCTTAAAGAAAAACTAACAGGTCTGTGAGAGCCGGAATTCTTACTGGTTGGTAGGTGATCAAATACTTATGTCATGCAATAAAATGCAAATTAATTACTTAAAAATCATACAATGTGATTTTCTGGATTTTTGTTTTAGATTCCGTCTCTCACAGTTGAAGTGTACCTATGATAAAAATTACAGACCTCTACATGCTTTGTAAGTAGGAAAACCTGCAAAATCGGCATTGTATCAAATACTTGTTCTCCCCACTGTATCTGTACACACTCTTACTGGAAGAAATGGAAAGCTTCAAAACTGTAGGCTATTTGAAGAATTTGAACCCAGGTTTGGTAGCTAATTATTCCTGGAGCATGGGGTGAAGTGTAATTGTTGAAAGATAGGTGGGGTCCATCGGTCTCTCGAGGGGTCTTCTAAACCACTCGAGGCAAAAGAAAGGCCTGACTTCCTCAGCCATTTCACTAGCTGTCATCATCGGCAGCTCTATGGTGAGAAACATCTCGATTCCCGGGGCAAAAACCCTGTGCTATCCTGGAGTATGAGTACGGGACATTACAAGGGTGCTTCCAACCATTCTACGACAGCTGCCGGGTGCTGGAGCTGTTGTAGTCCACGTGGGGTCAAACAACATTAGGAGGGATAGCTCGGAAATGCTGAAAATTGATTTTAAAGAACTGATTCTAGCTCTGAAAGATTCCAAAAAGCGGCCAATTATTTCAGGCCCGGTACTGTAGCTCTGTTGACATAAGTTTTATAGATAACTTTGACACCTTTTGGAAACAGAAGATGCTCTACAGGAGTAATGGAGCCCATCCAAATCATCTTGGCTCCTGGACCCTGGCCGCGCATTTCAAGGCTGCTTTGAGGCAATGACTTATCAGTGACCCATGCCCTGCTCAGATAACCCCTACCATTGTGTCGCTGAGCTGTCGTAGTGCTGCTGCAAATGTAAATTTTTCCCAGGGTCGTTGGCAGTCATAATGTAAGTAATGTCCCTATAACTCTCCTGAATGCCTCTATCATCCTACAGCTCTTGTATTCAGTAATCATGCGCGTATGAACCTGAGTTATACTGTTAGCACTGAGGCGGTTTGCCCTAGTAGGAAGTCCACTGTGTGCAGCTTACCCTGCACTATCAGCTCAAGCATAAATATCACTGTCATGTCTACCTCTGGTAAGCCTCCCAGTAAAGCAATAAAAAACAATCAAGAATCCCAGAAAAGTGCTAAAAATAACCCACAAGAACATATGTAGCCCAAGAAACAAGGTTCATGAAGTCGATAACTTGCTAGTAACAGATAACATTCATATACTGACTATCTCTGAAACTCACTTAGATAATACTTTTAATGATACAGTGGTAGCAATACATGGTTTCAACATCTTCAGAAGAGACAATAATGCCAATGGTGGAGGTGTTGCTGTTTATGTTCAAAATCATATTCCTGTAAAGCTTAGAGGATCTCATGTCAAATTCTGTTGAAGTAATATGCCTACAGGTTCACCTGCCTCATCAGCCCATTCTTGTGGGAAGCTGCTATAGACCACCAAGTGCTAACAGTCAGTATCTGGATAATATGTGTGAAATGCTTGATAATGTATCTGATATCAACAGAGAAGTATATTTTCTGGGTGACCTAAATATTGACTGGCTTTCATCAAGCTGCCCACTCGAACTGTAACCAGTGCCTGCAACCTGGTTCAGGTTATCAGTCAACCAACTAGGGTATTTACAAACAGCACAGGAATGAAATCATCCACAAGTATTGATCACGTCTTTACTAATGCTGCAGGAATCTGCTCTAAAGCAGTATCCAAATCCATCGGATGTAGTGATCATAATATAGTAGCCATATCTAGAAAAAACAAAGTTCCAAAGGCTGGGCCTAATATTGTCTATAAGAGATCATACAATACATTTTGTAGTGATTCCTATATTAAAGATGTTTGGAATATTTGCTGGTCTGTGGTGTGTAATGAGGAGCAACCAGACGCTGCACTGAAATAGCTTATTCCAGTTACTAATAAGCATGCACCCACTAAGAAAAAGACTGTTAAATCCCCGTAGATTGATGAGGAATTTAACATTTTTATGGCGAACTCTGCTCCATCATTCATTGAATCAGATGGCTCATTCATCACAAAACTACTTTAATGATTTTTTTATTGGCAAGATTAGCAAACTTAGGCATGACATGCCAACAACAAATTCTGAACCTACACTCCATGCATAACTGACCAAATCAAGAAAGACAAGCATTGTAATTGTAAATTCTCTAAAGTGAGTGTGGAAGAGGTGAAAAATGTTTGTCTGTCAAATCAAATCAAATCAAATGTTATTGGTCACATATACATATTTAACAGATGTTATTGCGGATGTAGCGAAATGCTTGTGTTCCTAGCTCCAACAGTGCAGTAGTATCTAACAATTGACAACAATACACACAAATCTAAAAGTAAAATAATGGAATTAAGAAATATATAAATATTAGTACAAGCAATGTCGGGTCAAGGTGAGGAGGAGGATTATTTGTTTCCTACCTTCACCACCTGGGGGCGGCCCCAGGAAGTCCAGGACCCAGTTGCACAGGACGGGGTTCAGACCCAGGGCCCCGAGCTTAATGATGAGCTTGGAGGGTACTATGGTGTTGAAGGCTGAGCTATAGTCGATGAACAGCATTCTTACATAGGTATTCCTCTTGTCCAGATGGGAAAGGGCAGTGTGCAGTGCGATGGCGATTGCATCGTCTGTGGATCTATTGGGACAGTATGCAAATTGAAGTGGGTCTAGGGTGTCAGTTAAGGTGGAAGTGATATGATCCTTAACTAGCCTCTCAAAGCACTTCATGATGACAGAAGTGAGTGCTACAGGGTGATAGTCAAGTTGGGTCTGACAACATAGATGGACAATTACTGAGGATGATAGCGGACGATATTGCCATCTCTTCAATCTAAGCCTACAGGAAAGTGTGTGCCCTCAGGCCTGGAGGGAAACAAAAGTCATTCCGCTACCCAAGAATAGCAAAGCACCCTTGACTGGCTCAAACAGTTGACCAATCAGCCTTTTACCAACCCTTAGTAAACTTTTTGAAAAAATTGTGTTTGACCAGATACAATGCTATTTCACAGTAAACAAATCAACAGATTTTCAGCACGCTTATAGGGAAGGGCATTCAACATGTACAGCACATACACAAATGACTGATGATTGGCTGAGAGAAATTGATAATAAAAAGATTGTGGGAGCTGTTTTGTTAGAATTCAGTGCAGCTTTTGACATTATCGATCATAATCTGCTTCTGGAAAAACATGTGTTATGGCTTTACATCCACTGCTATATTGTGGATCGAGAGTTACCTGTTATCAGAACACAGAGGGTGTTCTTTGATGGAAGCCTCTCCAACATAATCCAGGTAGATTCAGGGATTCCCCAGGGCAGCTGTCAAGGCCCTTTACTTTTTTCAATCTTTACTGATGGCCTGCCACTGGCTCTGAGTAAAGCCTGTGACTCAACACTATACACGTCAGCTACCACAGCAAGTGAAATAACTGCAACACTTAAAAAAGAGCTGCAGTCAGTTTCAGAATGGGTGGCAAGAAATAAGTTAGTTCTAAATATTTCATAAACTAAAAGCATTGTATTTGGGACAAATCATTCACTAAACCCTAAACCTCAACTAAATCTTGTAATGAATAATGTGAAAATTGAGCAAGTTGAGGAGACTAAACTGCTTGAAGTAACCCTGGATTGTAAACTGTCATGGTCAAAACATATTGATGCAACAGTAGCTAAGACGGGGAGAGGTTTGTTCATAATAAAGTGCTCCTCTGCCTTCTTAACAACGCTATCAACAAGGCAGGTCCTACAGGCCCTTGTTTTGTCGCACCTGGACTACTGTCCAGTCGTGTGGTCAGGTTCCACTAAGAGGGACTTAGGAAAATTACAATTGGCCCAGAACAGGGCAGCATGGCTGGCCCTTAAATGTATACGGAGAGTTAACATTAATAATATGCATGTCAATCTCTCCTGGCTCAAAGTAGAGGAGAGATTCACTTCATCACTACTTGTATTTGTAAGAAGTATTGACATGCTGTCTGTTTAAACAACTAGCACACATCTCAGACACCCATGCATACCCCAAAGATGCCACCAGAGGTCTCTTCACAGTCCAGAACAGACTATGGGAGGTGCACAGTACTACATAGAGCCATGTCTACATGGAACTCTATTCCACATCAAGTAACTCATGCAAGCAGTAAAATGTAATAAAAAAAACAGATAAAAATACACCTTATGGAATAGCGGGGACTGTGAAGAGACACACACGCACAGACTCACGAATACACACACACGATAACATACGCACTATACACACACGTACACATGGATTTTGTGTTGTATATATGTGTAGTGGCCTGAGGGCACACACTTAATGTGTTGTGAAATCTGTTGTGAAATGTAATGTAATGTTTTTTAAATTGTATATAACTGCATTAATGTTTGCTAGACCCCAAAAAGAGCCTTGGCAGCAGCTAATATAAATACATCCAACAGGGCTGATTCTAATTGACACTAACCAATCCATGTTAGATATGGAACTCTAAAATGATCAAGGTGTTTCCCAGAGGTCATTCAGGTTGTTTAATACTAATGGCCGACAATAATACATATCTACCTAGAACTTGAAGCATTCTCTGATAGTGTTTCCCAACTCTGGTCTTTGAGTACCCCCAACAGTACATATTTTAGTTTTGGCCCCGGGACAAGCACACCTGATTCTACTTGTCAAGTAATTATCAAGCTCATTACAAGTTGAATCAGGTGTTTTTGTCCGGGGCTACAACAGAAATGTGTGCTGTTGGGGTACTCGAGGTCCGGAGTTGGGAAACACCGCACTAACACAACCCCATCAGTGATCCATGAGAGGGATCAGGGATCTTCCAGCAGGTAGATATTGTTCAGTAATGCATCCCTCCCCTTGACGTTCTATAGGACCCTGCTGTGGTGTTGTGTTGAATAACTAGCTACGCCTCTGAGGAAGTTGACCCAATGAAACTATCCTGCTAATCAGCTCAGCGGGGGCCTGATCTGAGCATGGAAGCCCTACTTATGTAAAAGTCTAAGCATGGGCTAGTAAAGCTAACCAGGGTGCACAGAAAGGGCATTGTTAACCCCACAAGGCCTTCCATTTGAAGAGGACACGTCACCCACACAACATATCCTTAGCGCATTAACTCCATTTCCACCTCTGTGTAACTCTTATTCCCCACATGAGCGATTCGGGTGTCTGGTTTTCTCAGTGCTAGTTGTCGAGTGTCTGGCCAAGCTACCTGCTTTGTGAGGAGTGTCACAGATAAATAAGTAGGAATATTCCATGAGTGATGTTGAGACAAACAGGCAGAAGTCATTTAGGCTGTCAGCTCTCATCATGCTGTTTCCAGTAAGGCCCTTTGTGAGGAGTGTGGTACAGGAGATAGGGACTCGGCTCCCCGTCTTCATTATGACATTGGCATTTTCCCTTTAAATGGCAGACTTCTTTTCTCTCTGCCGAGGGGAGATAGCAGCATGGTTCATTTCAGATCCAGGTCAAGTGTGGCTGTAATGGTCTTGTAAACCAGGAACCTACTGTAGGCCTACACTGCTGAAACCCATTTCGAAGTGCAATGCAGAATATGTCTTTCAGATGGGATGGTTTCGCAGCTTGGAGCAATAGTAATGGTGGTATATAAAACATATAGTATGTTGGTCTGCTGGTACTTCATTCCACAATTGATTCAATAGTTTTATACCATCTTAGAAGAAGATAAGTAATTTAAAAGCAGAAGGGGTTGAATGTTTTAGTGCATATAAATTGCATGGAATGAAACAGGGTGAAAAGTTAATCTTTGCTTAGGTGAAACTAACACACGTGCGAGTACACATGTCTACTGTTCATGTGGTTAAAGTAATGGATGTTTGAAATGGTAGGAGGGGTTGTTCACATTGTATGTTTGACCACTCTACTGCATGTGTGCTAGCCATAACTGTCTGGGACTATGCACATATATGGGCTATGGTAATGATCATGGAAATGTAATGAAAAGGTTTTGCCGTTTCATTGACTGATTATTGACACCCATTGAGACAGTTGTAACGTCTTGAACAGATTATGTATTGCAGGGTTTCCCAAACTCGGTTCTGGCAAATCTAGGACGCGTGCTCACTTTCGCAACACACGCAGCTGGTCAGGACAGCCCCATTGATTACAAGGGGGGGCATTCACTTTTTTCTCAAATGATTAGTAGTTTATGTCATGGTGCTCTTTTATTAAAAAGCTGTCACGTTTCGACCGTGAAGTCTTTATCAAAGCATAGCTTATCAAAGACTCGTTGATCACCTTGAAAGAAGTTCAACTCACTTTTGGTGTTTCCAGAGTTCAGTCACATTCATTTAGGTGATGAATCACCTGAGGCTGACAATGTGAAGGCTTCTCATGCCTCCTTCATTTCTAAATGTTTTGAACGATGTTGGTGCACTGCAATTATCAAATAAAAATAAGATGTTTTGTTACATACACTGGATAGGTGCAGTGAAATGTGTTGTTTTACAGGGTCAGCCATAGTAGTACGGTATCCCTGGAGCAAACTAGCGTTACGTGCCATGCTCAAGGGTAAATGGACAGATTTTTCACCTTGTCGGCTCGGGTATTTGAACCAGCGACCTTTCGGTTATTGGCCCAACGCTCTAACCGCTAGGTTACCTGCCTCCCTATCATCTGTTAATGTTCATCTCTCTTGATAAACACCCTCAAACATCAAAAACTCTCTGACACACATGCTCATGCCTGGTCAGGTAGCTCCTAAAAGCCGATAGGAATGGCATATTTCTGGACCTCATTGGTTATTCCAAAACAACAGATGCGCACAAGCAGCAGCCTGATTGTTTCATTTGCTGACTGTTCCAATACAAAATGCCTAATACATGACAGAACAGCTGCTTGTGCCGATGGCCTACTCATTAGCATATTTAATGATCAAATGCAGCCCTGACCCCATTAAGCCTGTTGTAAATGAATGAAATGCTGGATTTGGTGCTGGATCCTACTGTGTTTTTGGTAACAGATTGCTGTTATTGACGTATAATGCTTTAATTGCTCAATTATTCCATTCCCGGCCCCACAGGGATTCACTCGCTAATATCGAGGTGATGCAACTGGACTTTGAGATGGAGAACTTCACCAGCCAATCGGTCACCAGGAGGATCAACTGGAACATTGACTACCGCGGCCAGAACCCGCCTCCGGACTCGGAGAAGGTGGTGACTGAGTTGACCGTGGTGCAGAAGGACATCCAGGCTATCATCCCACTCTCCATGGTGAGTAACCTGTGACATAACATACGGTATGCTATAATAGTGTTCATATCAGTTGAATCTGTCCATTGTTACACTTTCCACAACTGTTCAATTCAGATCTCTCATGCAAGAAAATAAGTTTGCCTCCAGTTTCATTAAAGGACCTTCGATCCCCATTGTCATAAATAAGCATGCTTATCAACACTTGAGGTTCTCTCTCACTAGCTCGATGCACCTGCTAAGAGAAGGCTGCCAAGGCCACCAAGTAATGGCACATCATGCTAAGAGTCTGTCTGGCCCCTCCACTCCTATCTCATGAAAAGGGGCAATTACTATAGTAGGCAGTAAAATCCGATTGTGGAAACGAGGGACATTAAATAAGTAATAGGAAGGTAGAGGGCCAGTCCTGAAGGGTCAAGTCGCCTCCTATGTGGTTTCACCTCCCCTTACTTGGTGAAGGGAGCCTGTGGAAAGTCTCTAGAAGTCTCAGGGGGAGAGACTTCATTATTTGGATATTACAATTCAACTGCTTGGGTAAATGTTATAATGACACTTAGCTCTCTCAGCCCAGGTACTGAAGACACGTTTTTTACACACTCAACTACAGAGGTTAATAAGCAAAGAGGAACATGACCTCGGTGTGCTTTGAGGGCTTTGTTAGAGGTGTCAGGCAGAGCGATGAGGATAGGAGTTCAGCTGAAAGGAGCCGGGGTCATAGAAAGGCCAACGCGTGAGGAATAGCAAAAAATAGCAACAGCCGAGACAACCTGCGCCATTTCATTCATTATCAGCTGCAGTGTTTCACTGTTTCTCCTTCATGTACTGTTGTGTAGAGGAGAGAAAGAGACTGCGTCCCAATTGGCACCTTATTCCCTTCATAGTGCACTACTTTTGACCAGGACCCATAGGACTCTGGTCAAAAGTAATGCACTATATAGGGAATAGGGTGCCATTTGACCCAGGCAGAATCTAATGCCACACATTCTCAGGTCTCTCTGTCTAATTATTGTAACAGTAACAGTAGCAGCAAGGCAGTAGACATAATGCACTCAGCACTTTGTGTCTAACACTGCACACAGCCTCTAAGAGCTTGATAGAAACCAGAAGGCTTCTGCTACCACTGCACACAGCCTCTGAGAGCTTGAAAGAAACCAGAAGGCTTCTGCTACCACTGCACACAGCCTCTGAGAGCTTGATAGAAGCCAGAAGGCTTCTGCTACCACTGCACACATCCTCTGAGAGCTTGAAAGAAACCAGAAGGCTTCTGCTACCACTGCACACATCCTCTGAGAGCTTGAAAGAAACCAGAAGGCTTCTGCTACCACTGCACACAGCCTCTGAGAGCTTGAAAGAAACCAGAAGGCTTCTGCTACCACTGGACACATCCTCTGAGAGCTTGAAAGAAACCAGAAGGCTTCTGCTACCACTGCACACAACCTCTGAGAGCTTGATAGAAACCAGAAGGCTTCTGCTACCACTGGACACATCCTCTGAGAGCTTGAAAGAAACCAGAAGGCTTCTGCTACCACTGGACACATCCTCTGAGAGCTTGATAGAAACCAGAAGGATTCTGCTACCACTGCACACATCCTCTGAGAGCTTGATAGAAACCAGAAGGCTCAGATCAGTATTTGTTCTGCAGCCACTGATTTGGGAAACAGCAGGATGAGGCAATCTGGGGAGAAAAACACAAGATGCATTTTACCTTGAGTAACAAAAAAACGAAACAGACGAGGGACAAGAACATGGCAAGCCATGTGCACAAAATGAATCCCCTCTCTGATTTAGTCCTAGCATGAACAAATGAGGGAGAGAGGGAGGGAGGCGTGAGGGAGAAAGAGAGGGATGGAGAAAAAAAACAAATCCCAGGACGTGAAAGCTTTGCTAAGCAGATTCACTGCCAGCCAGAGCTGAGCCACTACAACTGGGGAGGAGGAGGCGAGGGAGTGGGGAGATGGTAGCGAGGGAGGGGGGAGGAGGAGGAACGAAGGAGGTGGGTGAATTTACAGTGCAGAGTAGTGGTGTCTTCCAGGAGGATGTGGTTAAATCAGGCTCCATCACATTAGTCCTGTCAGGGCCCCAGCCAGGTCCACCTGGCCCCTACAGTCTTGGCGCAATTACCACCCCGCGTCAGAGAGCCCTCTCAGGGGCTTCTTATTAACGAGGGATGGGGGAGGTGGAGAGGGAGATGAGGAGGGGAATAGCGGGGTACTGTGTTGCTGGCTCCACCACTGCTTCTTGCTGCCGCAGTAGCGAACAGATAATAAATAAAACATGGGCGTTGTCTTTGCCGAGGCCCTTGTGGCACGAAGTCGCACGGCGCACACACACAAGTGCATACACCACAGGTTTTGCGCGTCTGACGTGGCGTTTCAATAATTTCCATGAGGAGTGGGAAGTGAGAGCCGTGGCGCAGAAAGCAGCAGAGGTTTGGCTTTGATATGTTTCGCTGGCTAATCGGCTCGGTCTTAAGGCCTCCATCAAAACTCAACAACTGTGGAGCTGTCAAGCTTCATTCATTCTCTCACTGCTTGTCATTTGGTTACTTGGATTAAAGTGTACCCTGCTTCTTTCATTTCCCCTGTTTAAATCTAAAACAACACTGTTCACATGGACGAAGCTAAACTAGTAGTCGTTAATCGACAAACTAGTCGTTGTTATAGGAGCAGTATAATAAAATGTTTTATTTCCGCAGTGTATTATTATATTAGACTGATAGTTGTCTCAGTCCCGTTTATTGGGGCTGGAGTAGTCGTGTCTTGTGTGTACACTAACAGATCGTTTTCTTACTGTGTGTCTTAGTACATGGAGTATAAAAGCGTTAACCTTGGCGCTTGCAACGCCAGGGTTGTGGGTTCGTTTCCCACGGGGGGCCAGTATGAAAATGTATGCACTCACTAACTGTAAGTCGCTCTGGATAAGAGCGTCTGCTAAATGACTAAAATGTCAAATGTAAATGTTTCACAGGCTATAAAATGTTTGATGACTTTGAAATCCCCTCCTGCGTGTTATTGATAGCTCTCCCCCTACTGTGTTCACGATAAGCTCTCACTCATTACTCCGGACACTGTGGCTACCACTTAATGCCACCATAAATTCTCAGGCCCCCATTCACATTTTGCACATTAGCTGGGCAACAGAATACCATTGGCACGTGAAAATGAGAAACATAGATGTTTTACTATAAGGTGGCAGTTGCGGTTTGTTGAGAAGAAAAAGAGTTGAGCTCTTTTCTGCGTCCCATAATTTGTCAATGTCAGAGGACTCTCAATTCAACGTCTATTCCATGTTGGTTCAACGTAATTTCAATGATATATTGTGGAAACAACATTGATTTAACCAGTGTGTGCCCAGTGGGCTGTCATTGGTCTGCAGTGGCTATTCTTTAGCAGGAAACTCAGAGGCTAGGTTTAACACATTTTCCTCACTGGATAATTACTTGACAAGCATATTGTATTATGAACAAATGTATCAACAGGTAAAATGTCATCAATATTCAAATAGAGCACCAGCTAATTTGATTTGGGCAGGACCTGACCATTGTGAGTTCTTCTAGATTTTAAATCATTCTAGCTTCAAAGGTTCTAGTTTCAAATCGTTTGGAAGTTATATTGTGAGATTACCTGCTATGGACAGCAGTAAGTCATACAGTATGTATTGGTTTTTGAAGGGCACACACAACCTAAGATTTGCACTCATTGTCAGTGAGCATAGGCATGTATCACGCCAAGTAAACTCTCCTATTTGAGTGCCAGCTTTAGGGCACTGCAAATTAGAGGAGGTCATCAACATAAATGCCTCCAGAAGCAACATTATTACTCTTTTAGATGCTGCATTCTTTTAGATTACACCACATTAAGTAATACTGTTTTGCCTCTAAGACTTGAGCATGGTGGTGTTTTGATTGAAGTCAAAGGAACATTTACATGATTTGGGTTTTCTCTAGGGGGCCACGAGGGACACAAATTAGAGTGCAACTCCTTACCCCCGCATAGCCCAAAATAATGAATTTATTAACAGTCGCCCAATTCAAGGCTCAGTGCTCATTTAAATTGGCTGTTTCTATATCACTGGAGTCATGATAAAAGTGTAAATCTGCTGACGGACTTGGCCCTGTTTATAATCAGTTCTCAAGTCAGTTTTTAGTCCCCAGCAATGAGATTTCAGGAATTTATTAGCAACACTAGACTTCATAGTTGTTGTTTGATGCCTTAGTTCACAGATTCACTAACAGTAACCAAGATTGTGAGGACAAATACAAAGGTTTTGAGGACAACGTTATGTTTTATAGGGCCATTAAAATATACTTTCCTTTGTCACTTCTTCATTTTTGCATCCGCTTGATGAAGAAGGAATTACTTAGCATACATTGTCAACGCGAACTTCTTTCCTTTTTGTTCTAGCGTCATTTGGAGCAGAATGCAGCTCGGAGGGGAAAACATATATTTTTTAAACATTCCCTTTGTGCAGTACAGGAAATGTTGAACTTGTAGTATATTTCAGCTTTAAAAAGGCTTCTGAAGTTTGTAATTTCCACTTTTAAATTTCCGAGCTGATTTACCCTTACGAAAATGTATCAACCCCTACAAAAATGTCTATTATAATGTCAGTTATAATCCACATAACAATTCACATTTCCTGTCGATACAGGATTATTTTCCTGCTGTAGCAAACTCAAAATAAGATCCTACGTCTGTACTTTGAGTGATGAAATGGATCAAAATCAAACCCGGCCGACCATTGAGAATGGCTTCCAGTGGAACTCTTCTGGACTTTATTTTTGAAAAGTACATATTGGAAGTACCCGGTGAAATATAATAGCGATGGACACTATCTAACACTGTTTCATGTTTGTTCCCTCTCTCCTTTAAACTCTACAGGACACCGAAATCATTAACACTGCGATACTGACCGGCCGAACCGTGGCCATTCCCGTGAAAGTGGTCTCTATTGAAATGAGTGGAGTCGTCACAGATGTCTCGTCCTTCGTAGAGTGCAAGTCATCTAACGAAGACATTGTCAAGGTATGGTACAGTAGATTCCCACTTAGGTTGCAAAATTCCAGTAACTTTCCCCAAATTCCCAGGTTTTCACTATTGGGATTTCTGGAAAACCTGAGAATTCTGGGGGAAATTACCAGAATTTTGCAACCCTATCCCTCTGAGAATGATCTTGGTAATGCATCTGATACCAAATGGAATCCCAGCTCACTCGTACACACCCTAATGGACCTGCAGCACACTTTAATATACCATCATGCGAACATCAAAACCTCATTATATGGCTGTCCCACCACGGACTAATCAATGGATGTTCATACTGGTACACCAAAATCAATAGGCTACAAAGCACAGTAATAGCTATGAAGGATGCTTTTGAAACACTTCTCTTCTCTAGTCTAGTCTGGCCTAGTCTGGTCTAGTCTGGTTGCCACCATGTCTCCAGACCTTAGAGTTTACTTTAGCTGCATTATCTGGTGCAAGGCATCCATTTCCATTGACTTAAGTACTTTACACCACTGCAGTCATCCTACATGGCCAAGGTAGCGTCCCAAATGGCACCCTATTCCCTATTTAGTGCACACATTTTTACCAGAGGCCCTGGTCAAAATTACTACACTAAATATGGAATAGGGTGCCATTTGGGACGCTACCTTGGCCATGTAGGATGACTGCAGTGGTGTAAAGTACTTAAGTAAAAATACTTGAAAGTACTACTTAAGTAGTTTTTTAGGGTATCTGTACTTTACTTTACTATTTATCTTTTTGACAACTTTTACTTTTACTTAAGTATATTTAAAACCAAATACTTTTAGTCTTTTACTCAAGTAGTATTTTACTGGGTGACTTTCACTTTTACTTGAGTCATTTTCTATTAAGGTATCTTTACTTTTACTCAAGTATGACAATTGGGTACTTTTTCCACCACTGGATGACTGGAGGCAAGGAGACGATGCTAGTGTCCTGGGATGAGTCACAAACACAACTCTGGCCCGTTGGGAGCCCACAGTGGTAGAATACAACATCAACTCCCATTTGTGGATTAAAGAAGGACCAACATTTTGCCAGCATACCCCATAATCAGCAGGGGTAAATCCCATTTAGCTGTAGAAAGAGTTGAATACAGGAGGCTGCAACCTCTGAAATGTAATCCAACATTATTTGTTGATTCTCTCGGAGCACGTTTGATGATGGCATCACAACACCTTACAGAACATGTGAGAAAATTATACGTGATAAAGAGAGAAAAATGATACAACATTTTCTTACGTTGATTTAAGCGTTTCCGTTCGTTTGAGATTATCACCTGGGATTATCGAAAGCAGAATGCACAATAATAAATGCAAATGTGTTCAGAATAAGTGGAGGGAAAAGCATCAATTGTAAAATACAGCAAGAATATACAGACCACTCCTGATCTTATTCTGACATTCATATTTGTGTTAAGACTATGATCTATATATCAGAGCGCAAATCAAAAGCATGACATTTTGCCATTAATCTGTTTGTGAGAAGGTTTAGAATGGTTTCAAGGCGCGCTGCATTAGCTCGTGTTATTGAATAGGCCTCGCTTCACTGCCCATGCCATTGAACTTTGGAGGCTAATGCAAGATGAGGCCTTCAAGCCGAGACGTATATGAGCCCTGACAGTTCTATAAAACACTCCACCCAATACGAAAGAAAGGTTCATAAAGACGATCCACAAAGGTTGTGTGGTTGTGTCATCTCCCCCTTGCATTTTGTGGTGCCACATTATTCATACACAGCACTCTAATGCAGATCTGTTCTAATCAGATTACTCTATTCTATTATTCTATTTGCGTAGCCTAGGTGAATCTGTGGAACACTCCAAACTATAGGCTTTGCTCGGTTTATAAGTAAAACACATAGAGAATGTATTGTCATATAAACCAAGCTGCACCATGTGCACATACTGTAGGCTGCTTAATTTTTGGGATGTTTTTTTAAACAAAGCATTTATTTTATATTTTTTTCTTTGGCTATTCGCCAACCTACCATTGTTCTGTTTTTGTTCCCAACTTCTGGAAAAGGTTATGCTGCTCTCATTTCTCTTTGCTGAGGCGTTTATTTGTTTGTTTGTTTCTCCTCCTTTGAAATAAATAGGCCACAGTATATGTCAGCGCTGGCGGATAACCCAATCCCATTTGACTGTACAGTGGTGTGTGTGTGTGTGAGCACAGTAGGATGGGTTGGTTATTAAAGCACACATCTGTGCTCTGCTCAGATGGGGTTTATTGTGCTATTTTATGTTGTGTTGTGCAGGGTGGGGAGGAAGGCACAGGGATGGGAGAGGGAGGCTGGGCGAGAGGAGGAGAGGGCTGAGGACCCTGTGGGGATTTGTCAGCGAGCGGGAGACATGACTCCCCCAGCTGATCCTTTCTCCCAGGGCTGTGTGTGCGCGTCACTGTGGCCATCTGAGGCGGCGGCGGAGCGCCCTGTTCCATGCCAGTGGTCATCCAACCCTTGCCCTGCCAAGCCCTCGGTTTCCTCCATTCTGCACTCACACCAATGTGACACATTCACCTTCAGCCAACGACCAGGCTTAAATAAGAAAGGCTTTGTGAGGCAGTGAGATAAGTACACCTGAGTGGTCTAGTGTCTTCATTGTTGTCTGTTGTGCTATTGTATATGAGAGGTCTTGAAGAAGTTTGTATTATTGTTGATGGCCTCACAATGAGGACATAATCCAGTCAATGAGAGCATGCAGGCCCAGAAATCATTTTTTATGATTATATCCTACTACAAACTGGTTTTGAGAGATTAAGCAATGAAACGCATTGTGTTTCACAAAGAGCTCCTTCAGTCGATTAATTAGTTATAGGGTATTTTTAAAGAGAAGTCTATTGATTATCTTACTGTACCTTCCATCAATCAAAGTAGGTTTTCATAATGGCCACTACAGGGCAACAGTAACCCAACTGGGGTGTGTTCATTGGGCACCAAACGAAAAGTTAAACAAACTGAAACAGGGACGGACTACCGGAACTTGTACCAGAACGCTTGATTTCGCTTTCTGTTGCAAAACATTTTAAAATGTTTTCTGTTGCGTGCGCTAATGAACACAGCCCAAGTTATGCTTTTTTTTCCATCTGCTCCACCTCCAGGAAGAAAACAGGTGGCATTGATAGGCCTAAATCCTGTTTGGAGGCACATGTTGTAGTTAAGCGTGTAAGCAGAGGCGAGCCAGCATGGGATCTACATCACTAAAAGGTGCTCATTGTTTCTCATTAGATCCATACGCGTTAGTCAGTAGAATAAATACTATCAGGTCAAATGAACCCCACCAACCTTCTGTGTTCCACATGCATGCGCCTCAACGTGCATTAATAGTACGTTAAACCCAAACAACCCTTAAGCCACCCGTGGAAAAACAAAGCCCCACAATACAGTATTGGAATCCATTTTGTTATCAGAGCTGCCAAGGAGTAAAGATATGGATATAATGTGCTGCAGGCGGGTGGTGATCCTTTTTGATCCTGAATCTCTGTCTGTTGGTTTAAACTGAGCCTGGATGCCGCCCTAGCGGGTAGTGCCTGCCCTGTCTTCCTTTGCCCGACCCTACCAAGGCAATCTGTTGGCACCATGGAAGGTGCCACAGCACATTAGAGGGCTGTGTAGCAATGACAGCTTGTGGCTCCATGCATGAGAGCACTTTCACGGGCCCCGCTGGGCTACTGACACCCGTAGTCGTTAACAGCTTTTGACTCGCAATTAGCCAGCCAAGTTTATTAGCTGCCTGCAGGAGCTGGGATCGTTTATGCTAGCGCAGTTAGCAAGGGTGAGTGAGAGTGATAGGGAGGCTGGTGTTAGCATTGTAGCGATGGGGAGGCCTAGAGTGGTAGATCACAGGTGGGAGGGGTCACTGTGTTTGACGGTAGCTAATCTTGTCTTTCTGTCTCTGTGTGTGTGTGTGTGTGTGTGTGTGTGTGTGTGTGTGTGTGTGTGTGTGTGTGTGTGTGTGTGTGTGTGTGTGTGTGTGTGTGAATGTAGGGGTGCAGGTACACTACATGACCAAAAGTATGTGGACACCTGCTCGTCGTACATCTCATTCCAAAATCATGGGCATTAATATGGAGTTGGTCCCCCCTTTGCTGCTATAACAGCCTCCACTCTTCTGGGAAGGCTTTCCACTAGATGTTGGAACATTGCTGGGGGACTTGCTTCCATTCAGCCACAAGAGCATTAGTGAGGTCGGCACTGATGTTGGGCGATTAGGCCTGGCTCTCAGTTGGCGTTCCAATTGCGCCCAAAGGTGTTCGATGGGGTCGGGGGTTCTGTGCAGGCCAGTCAGTTTCTTCCAGACCGATCTCGACAAACCATTTCTGTATGAACCTCGCTTTGTGCAAGGGGGCATTGTCATGCTGAAACAGGTAAGGGCCTTTCCCAAACTGTTGCCACAAAGTTGGAAGCACAGAATCGTGATTCATCACTCCAGAGAACGCGTTTCCACTGCTCCAGAGTCCAATGGCGGTGAGCTTTACACCACTCCAGCCAATGCTTGGCATTGCGCATGGTGATCTTAGGCTTGTGTGCGGCTGCTCGGCCATGGAAACCCATTTCCTGATGCTCCCGATGAACAGTTATTGTGCTGACGTTGCTTCCGGAGGCAGTTTGGAACTCAGTAGTGAGTGTTGCAACCGAGGACAGACGATTTGTACGCGTTACGGGCATCAGCACTCGGCGGTCGCGTTCCGTGAGCTTGTGTGGCCTACCACTGCGCGGCTGAGCAGTTGTTGCTCCTAGACATTTCCACTTCACAATAACAGCACTTACAGTTGACCGGGGCAGCTCTAGCAGGGCAGAAATTTTACGAACTGACTTGTTGGAAAGGTGGCATCCTATGACGGTGCCATGTTGAAAGTCACTGAGCTCTTCAGTAAGGCCATTCTACTGCCAATGTTTGTCTATGGAGATTGCATGGCTGTGTGCTCAATTTTATACACCTGTCAGCAACGGGTGTGGCTGAAAAGGACCAATCCACTAATATGAAGGGGTGTCCACATACCTTTGTATAGATAGTGTATGTCCTTTGCTCTGTACAGTATCTAAGCCTGGCAAGCAAGAACCTAATTATCATAATTCAGTATGAAAAAAGTATATTACCCTGATTCCAGCTGACATCCCAGATCTCTGCCAGAGAATGATGATCCCAAAATCCCACAAAGGTGTCTAAAGACGTTGAAGTCTCATAGCAGATCATCTGAAAACTTCATTTACCAGAAGAAGGGAAACTAGGGAAAATACTAATCTCTCTCCTCTATCTGAAGGCTTCCCACCCAGCCTGTATGGATTGCAGAGAGGAGAGGCCTGTCTGGATGGACTGGGTGTTTTATTACCCCCCCTTATGATGAATCCCCAACCCTGAGAAGACTGGAGAGCCCGACCTCCATTTGCAGGAGATTAGCTCCTCTGATTACAGTGTCAGCTGCCTCCTACTGCCAGATAAATCATCAATGGTATCCCAAAAGCAAACCCTGCTATCTATTACAGTAAATAATTTAGTATTAAAGGGATGGGTATTTATGAGAAATTCCGCGCTGGGTGATTTCTTGGAGACAACTGCAGGATAAAAAATAAATAAACAGAATTTTGTGTGTGGGCACCTGGTGTATTAAGCTTTCATATTCTATGAATAATTTGTTGCCAAAAAGCTTGTGTTAGTATATATATTCTGCAATGTGTCTCTGCATAATTGTGTATAATCATTACACTGAAAATAGTGGTGGGTGGGGGGTGATCGTGGACCTGATTTTTAAAGGCTTAGAGTAGACTGTACTTTGGGCCAATTTATCCACTCAAGAAGAGACTCAAATTAGATAGGAGAAAACCCTCAAGTAGTGTTGTTTACACTGTGTTCCCAGATATTTCAAATTATGACAAAAATATAGCTTCTCGTGGCAAAATATTGGAACATTCACAAAGGAGGATTATTGTGACCTAATAATAGTACACATTCCACATTAAAATAATCTGTAAGCGAAAAGGAAGACATGGTTTCCCTGTTTCCTTTAGCGGAATCTAAGAAAAGCTGTGCACCAGCAAATCCAATGTAATAAACTAGGTGGTGGACTCTACTCCTGCATCCATACTGTACTATATCACTTGTATCACCTGTCAACGGCAGATGCATTATCATATACAGTGGGGGAAAAAAGTATTTAGTCAGCCACCAATTGTGCAAGTTCTCCCACTTAAAAAGATGAGAGAGGCCTGTAATTTTCATCATAGGTACACGTCAACTATGACAGACAAAATGAGAAAAAAAAAATCCAGAAAATCACATTGTAGGATTTTTAATGAATTTATTTGCAAATTATGGTGGAAAATAAGTATTTGGTCAATAACAAAAGTTTCTCAATACTTTGTTATATACCCTTTGTTGGCAATGACACAGGTCAAATGTTTTCTGTAAGTCTTCACAAGGTTTTCACACACTGTTGCTGGTATTTTGGCCCATTCCTCCATGCAGATCTCCTCTAGAGCAGTGATGTTTTGGGGCTGTCGCTTGGCAACACAGACTTTCAACTCCCTCCAAAAATTTTATATGGGGTTGAGATCTGGAAACTGGCTAGGCCACTCCAGGACCTTGAAATGCTTCTTACGAAGCCACTCCTTCGTTGCCCGGGTGGTGTGTTTGGGATCATTGTCATGCTGAAAGACCCAGCCACGTTTCATCTTCAATGCCCTTGCTGATGGAAGGAGGTTTTCACTCAAAATCTCACGATACATGGCCCCATTCATTCTTTCCTTTACACGGATCAGTCGTCCTGGTCCCTTTGCAGAAAAACAGCCCCAAAGAATGATGTTTCCACCCCCATGCTTCACAGTAGGTATGTTGTTCTTTGGATGCAACTCAGCATTCTTTGTCCTCCAAACACGACGAGTTGAGTTTTTACCAAAAAGTTATATTTTGGTTTCATCTGACCATATGACATTCTCCCAATCCTCTTCTGGATCATCCAAATGCACTCTAGCAAACTTCAGATGGGCCTGGACATGTACTGGCTTAAGCAGGGGGACACGTCTGGCACTGCAGGATTTGAGTCCCTGGCGGCGTAGTGTGTTACTGATGGTAGGCTTTGTTACTTTGGTCCCAGCTCTCTGCAGGACATTCACTAGGTCCCCCCGTGTGGTTCTGGGATTTTTGCTCACCGTTCTTGTGATCATTTTGACCCCACGGGGTGAGATCTTGCGTGGAGCCCCAGATCGAGGGAGATTATCAGTGGTCTTGTATGTCTTCCATTTCCTAATAATTGCTCCCACAGTTGATTTCTTCAAACCAAGCTGCTTACCTATTGCAGATTCAGTCTTCCCAGGCTGGTGCAGGTCTACAATTTTGTTTCTGGTGTCCTTTGACAGCTCTTTGGTCTTGGCCATAGTGGAGTTTGGAGTGTGACTGTTTGAGGTTGTGGACAGGTGTCTTTTATACTGATAACAAGTTCAAACAGGTGCCATTAATACAGGTAACGAGTGGAGGACAGAGGAGCCTCTTAAAGAAGAAGTTACAGGTCTGTGACAGCCAGAAATCTTGCTTGTTTGTAGGTGACCAAATACTTATTTTCCACCATAATTTGCAAATAAATTCATTAAAAATTCTACAATGTGATTTTCTGGAGAAAAAAAATTCTCAATTTGTCTGTCATAGTTGACGTGTACCTATGATGCAAATTACAGGCCTCTCTCATCTTTTTAAGTGGGAGAACTTGCACAATTGGTGGCTGACTAAATACTTTTTTTCCCCACTGTATATTGACCCTTAACCTTTGTTTTTCACAGGTGTCCATGAATTGTGACTACGTGTTTGTGAATGGGAAGGAGACGCGGGGCTCCATGAACGCCCGGGTCATCTTCAGCTACGAGCACCTCAGTGCCCCTCTGGAGCTGACCGTGTGGGTGCCCAAACTCCCCCTTCAAGTGGAACTGTCCGACAGCAACCTGAGCTTCATCAAGGGCTGGAGGGTACCCATTCTTCCTGACCGCAGGTAGGACTCACCAACACACTAAACACAGCTCCCCTCTGTGGTGTAGTGTTAGAGTGGAGAGCACTGCTGTTTTAGAGCTGATGTTTCTTGTATTTATTTTGAGTTCATTTTGAGGTTACTGCACTCTAGTGTGGTTTGCTGCACTCTAGTCTGGTTTGCTGCACTCCAGCTGAGACACTAGCCTAGATGTTGTTGTCTTTCTCAACTTAGATGTTTTTGCTCTTTACCCCTTGCGTCTGTCATGTATCGTTTCAATTGTGCACCCCATGTTTTGCTTGTGTCGTGTGTTACATGTCGTCCTAGGGACATAATTGTAAGGAAATCTGCCTAAGCAATGTTTAGGCCTCTTAGGCATTATCTTTATTTGCACAACTACAGCCTGTGCACGCGTTTTATTAGAGTTTAAGCCAACCCATGATTTCAGGTGATCAAACGTATCTCTCTTAATTAATTGAACTAAACTAAGACGTTTGGCTGAGAACAGGACGTTAAGCAAATTCCAGACCAGACTGACAGTAAATTCACGGCAAGCTTTTAGGGCCGGTTTCCCAGACACAGATTAAACCTAGTTCTGAAAAACCTATTTCAAAAGAGTTTCTCGATTGAGAATGTTTTTTAATCCTGGACTAGGCTTAGTCAGTGTCCGGGAAACAGGCCGCTAAAGTTTCAAATGTTCTGAACCATGAACCGCAATGAACTACATTAACTACTATGTCTTCATATTTTTGTAGGGAATAGGAAAAAAACATAACTGCAGAAGGCTTTTTATGGTTGATTTTGTTTTTGAATGGCGAGTGAATTGTACCACCAAAATTCATTACGCCATTTTGGCAAAACATTAAGCACTTAACTAGATGTTTGCGATGTTGTCAGAACAAGGACAAAAAAACACCTCACTGTGCATTAAACACTTAGATGTTTTTTTTTACAACAGATCCCGCCAAAGCTACGCTATTAATTTAGCTGTCATTTAATCGCCTTTTATTTGGTCTCCCCTCAGAACACAAGCCATTTGGCTCACTTCTCACTCTCTCATCTCTCGCTCTCTCATATCTCTCGCTCTATCTCCCTCTATCTCCTCTAACACAACACTAGTTGAAGCCCTAAGCTTTATCAAGGGCCAGGTCTCTTGGACCGCAATGTGTGTCTTTGCTACATTGCAGCTGCATTGCTCACTGGCTGTGTTATCCAGTAATGTGTTCTAAAAGAGGAAAGAAGTGTAATCGGGTAGGCCGGCCGATGTGCAGCAAAGCTCCAGCGCGATCGGGTGTATCAAAGATCCTAATATGAACAGACACTCCTCTGAAGAAAAATAAATATAGGTATGGCCTTAACATGGTAAACTCTCTGACCTGAGCAAAGAGTCATGAAGAGAGTCACGCTGTCTCTCGGGTTTACCCTAGTCTTAACTGAACACTCTTGTCTACACTCTTGTCTCTCCACTGCTATTGTGGCTTTGTTGTACAAGCTGAGAAACACAGGCGAACGGCACCTTTTAGCCTTAAATGTCAAGTGTTAGCCGGCCTGGGTACGTGATGCATGTTCGAGTATTGTCAGACCTTTTAGGGAACACGGGACAGGCCTGCTTGATATTCAGGCGGGCTTTGGGAATCAATGGGTGGGATATGCTTTGTCAGTCACTGACAGCCTGCTGGCACTCCTGCATCTTAAGTTATCTGAAAGGATAAGTCAAAGCAAAGATTAATTAGCCTTGGGAATGGAGGAGAGCTTTTTAGCATTTAAGAGGAAAGCCAGCAGCTTGTCAGGCTGTTGAGAAAAGTTTGGCAAGTATTACATCTTCTGGAGGAACATATTGGGCTTCGTTGGGATGCACTGGTCGTGTTCTCCTCCTGTCCATCTAAGCATCCGTTGATTTAGGAATGGAAGGCACACATCCAAATCTTGCTTGTTTGGAAGTTTTTGGAGGAGTTTCGTGCTGGCTTGGATAACTTTTCCCTCGCAAAGGACACATTGGAACAGACACTGTAAAAGATGTCCTCCACATGGATTAGTGTTGGGCCTCTCATCAAATCAAGTGCTAAATTATATAATGATAAGAAGCAATTAAGAACATAAGCTCCCAAAACAGGATGCAGGATTTAACTACACTACAGCATCTTCCACAAACATATTGAGTTACAAGATGCATCAATAAAGGCTATGATAAGCCATTGAGCTACTGCTGAAACGGCTTCATAAATAGTACAGCAAATACATTTTTACATGGTTACCCTTACTTTGTTGTTGTACACTTTGACACTGGTTACGGTATTGACACAGGTAATGGTATTGACACTGGTATTGACACTGGTAATAGTATTGATACCGGCAGCGGTATTGATACTGGTAATGATATTGACAATGGTTACGGTTTTTACACTATTAACATAATTGACACAGTTTCTCGCTCTCGCTCTCTCTCTCGCTCTCTTTCGCTCTCTCTGTCTTTGTCTCAGGAGTGCCAGAGACAGTGACACAGATGACGACGAGGACGACCGGCGGGTGAGCCGGGGCTGCACCCTGCAGTACCAGCGTGCCCTGGTCAAGGTGCTGACCCAGTTCCACACCACCTCCACCGAGGGCACCGACCAGGTCATCACCATGCTGGGGCCCGACTGGCAGGTGGACGTGACTGACCTGGTTCAGGACTCGCTGAAGGTGGTTGACCCCAGGATAGCCGAGCTGGTAGACCGCACCGTGCTGGTGGGCCTGGAGCTGGGGTCCACTGTACTGAAGGTATGGAAACTTGGCTAGGTCGCCAAAGTCTGTAAAAAGGAAATTTTTTTATTTTTTTTTGTCATTTAGCAGACGCTCTTATCCAGAGCGACTTACATGAGCAATTAGGGTTAAGTGCCTTGCTCAAGGGCACATCGACAGATTTTTCACCTAGTCGGCTCAGGGATTAGAACCAGCGACCTTTCGGACGCTCTTAACCACTAAGCGACCTGCCACTTCTTTCAATTGTCTCCTTTACTTTATAGGTGTTCGCCCACTCATAAATGTTATAGGCTAGGGCACTAGAGGCAAATAGTAAATTGACACTGAGGTAGACAAAATGCTTCATTTTGGATCACGCTGACCAAAGTGCAGTTGTAATATGCAGAAGTGCTCAGAGTGCGAGACAAAATCTTTTGTGCTTCACACTGACCTAGACGAACTGGACAGGTGAAAGAGAGGAAATTAGACCTCTTCCTCATTGCTTTCACCCATTTTGTCTTTGTAAAGGAAGCCTCTTTACGATGATGAAATTATAAATGAGATCTGTCCAACCTTGCTTTTAAAGATGGCTCCATCTGCATAGGCATGTACTCTACAGTTGAAGTCGGAAGTTTAGACACTTAGGTTGCAGTCATTAAAACTTGTTTTTCAACCACTCCACTAATTTCTTGCTAACAAACTATAGTTTTGGCAAGTCGGTTAGGACATCCACTTTGTGCATGACACAAGTAATTTTTCCAACAATTGTTTACAGACAGATTATTTCACTTATAATTCACTGTATCACAATTCCAGTGGGTCAGAAGTTTACATACACTAAGTTGACTGTGCCTTTAAACAGCTTGGAAAATTCCAGAAAATGAAATCATGGCTTTAGAAGCTTATGATAGGCTAATTGACATCATTTGACTCAATTAGAGGTGCACCTGTGGATGTATTTCAAGGCCTACCTTCAAACTCAGTGTCTCATTGCTTGACATCATGTGAAAATCAAAAGAAATCAGCCAAGACCTCAGAAAAAAATTGTAGACCTCCACAAGTCTGGTTCATCCTTGGGAGCAATTTCCAAACACCTGAAGGTACCACGTTCATCTGTATAAACAATCGTACGCAAGTATAAACACCATGGGACCACGCAGCCGTCATACCACTCAGGAAGGAGACGTGTTTTGTCTCCTAGAGATGAACGTACTTTGGTGCGAAAAGTGCAAATCAGTCCCAGAACAACAGCAAAGGACCTTGTGAAGATGCTGGAGGAAACAGGTACAAAAGTATCTATATCCACAGTAAAACGAGTCCTATATCGACATAACCTTAAAGGCCGCTCAGCAAGGAAGAAGCCACTGCTTCCAAAACCGCTATAAAAAAAGCCAGACTACGGTTTGTAACTGCAAAGATCGTACTTTTTTCTCTCTATTATTATTCTGACATTTCACATTCTTAAAATAAAGTGGTTATCATAACTGACCTAAGACAGGGAATTTTTACTAGGATTAAATGTCAGGAATTGTGAAAAACTGAGTTTAAATGTATTTGGCTAAGGTGTATGTAAACTTCCGACTTCAACTGTATATGGGCTTCCGCTTAGCTTCCCATTATGCAGCACTACCATTCAACCTGAGTGATTGATGGCATAGAAAACCATACTTATTGAAGGCTGGAAGCAATTAAAATATCTCAAGCTTATAGCATATTTTATGGCACATGAGGAAAATGAAGAGTAGCCTATTTCTCACTACCAACCCCTATTGGTGGAGCGAATCATGAATCTACTCTCGAACGAAACTATTTCACTTAGAGGGTTCAATCATGAACATAGTTATAAGACCTTTTTCATGAATCGAACGCCATTTTCCAATCAATTATTTTTTGGGGGGAGTACTCTGGGAGATTTGATAATGTGCAACAGTTTAATCCCGCCATCTTGACTTTAAGTGGTCTCATTTTGGAGGAGGTGAAACTAACTTTATTTCAAAATGCTCACGCACACAAAAGAAAAGTTTGCTAATTAAAGAGCGAAACCACCAAGGTCATTAATAATTAAAGGACAGAACAGTACGTGTGACATTTTTGCTTTTGCCTCCCCCCATTCGCTTATCTCTCCTCTCCTGGAAAGCAAATGATTGTCTTTGGCTGAAAGTACGGCACCACAAAAGGTGTAAGAGTCAGATTTTGTATTGTTTTTCGTTTAGATGTTTATTTATTTTAAATACATTATGAAATATTACCTTCACGATGGGATCAGAAGAAGACAGCTTTGTCCTCTCTGGTGACGTATGCGACCGGTGATGTCAAGCCACATTGAGCCATCATAAAAACCGGTTTAAAAGCATTCTATGTACACGTCACCTTACCAGACAGTCCATCCTCTTCAGCGCACTATACTCAACAGATCGGGATGGTAACTCTGTCTCTGTGTTAAAGGGCTCTTACTACTTTCTAATGGCTATTTTGAACAGGGTGAAGGGCTGTAATGATAACAGATTACCAAATTAGTGTGCTGTGTAGGATGGTAAGCACTATTAAATGTTATTATGGCCGTTAGAGGCCAAATGAACAAAGACAGAGGCTCTCGATGCCCCTCTTCACCGTAGATTTGGCATGAGCTCCCGTTGCTACAGAAGTGGAACAACCAACCGGGCTCAGATGAGCACGAGGGAAAATATTTGGATAGATAATGGTGTACGATGCCTGAAGGTGAACAAGCTATTTGGATAATGAGAAAAGCCAGTTGGCGGTCATCTCTATTCATCTCTATCCGCTGTTGTCACCAGAGCAGTACCCATACAATTAATAAAGACGGGAAAATGTATTCATCCTCCAAAAATAGAGATAAAAACAAAACAATCCAAAAATGACAAAACATACGTTTTTTGATGGGGGGAACCTGTCATATCATCTAAACATGCCTTCCTGTATTCTACACAGGCAGCCTAATAGATCTGAGAGCTGATGTAAAAAATTAAATACAAAAGTTAAGTCCTTTATGACTCACAGAGGAAGGCGAGTGCTTCTGTGGTTGACTTTTCCCACATGACCTTTACTAAGCAATCGGAGGCAACAACAGAAAGGTGAAATAATGAGCTGTAAATGCCGTGTTGGGCCTCTTGATGGAGGCAGACCTGTCAAGGCCCCAGGATTAGCTCGAGATGGGTGGGGTTTTTATGTTGTATTTTGTGCCCTGCGGCCATCCGATGGACTCATGTTTTTGCCAACCACCCATTGGAGAGGTCAAGTGTGGGTCAAGAGGTCAAGTGTAGGGCACAGGGAGGCTGTAAGTGGCAGCCTCCGGTGCTTTCGTTTTGGCTTGAGTGACTCATTTATCACACACAGAAGATGGACAGAAAGACAGACTCATATTCCACTTGTCTGTATTTCCCTCTGTCATGACACAAAATGCTTGGCGTGACAGTCAAATGGTCTCTTGTCGTTTGCAGGTGGAGTCTCCACTTGCCGTGGAGGCCATGTTGGGAGAGACGTCGTTTTCCGTCACAGATGAGAAAGTCTCCATCTTGGAACTTCGCGTGCACGCCATCTCTGGACTTGCTCTGTCGCTACAGCCCAGCCCTGGCAACAGTCACACTATGGTCGCCAAGGCAACTGGCCTGCAGACACTTGCTGCACCAAAGCAGGTACTGTATACTAATATATAAGATGATACATGTAGATGTCATTGAGTTTATGTGTGGATGTCAGTTTTGAGTATACAAAACATTAAGAACACCTGCTCTTTCCATGACATAGACTGACCAGGTGAATCCAGGTCAAAGCAATGATCCCTTATTGATGTCACTTGTTAAATCTACTTCAATCAGTGTAGATGAAGGGGAGAAGAAAGGTTAACGAAGGATTTTTAAGCCTTGAGACAATTGAGACATGGATTGTATATGTGTGCCATTCAGAGGTGGAATGGGCAAGTCAAGAAATGTAAGAGCCTTTGAAAAGGGTATAGTAGTAGGTGCCAGGAGCACCGGTTTGTGTCAAGAACTGCAATGCTGCTGGGTTTTTCACACTCAACAGTTTCCCGTGTGTCAGTTGTGTCAGCCAACTTGACACAACTGTGGGAAGCATTGGAGTCAACTTGGGCCAGCATTCCTGTGGAACGCTTTCGACACCTTGTAGAGTCCATGCCCCGATTAATTGAGGCTGATCTGAGGGCAAATGGGGGGGGGGGGGGGGGGGGAGAGACTCAATATTAGGAAGGTGTTCCTAATGTTTGGTATACACAATGTATGTTGATAGACATAAGCAACCTGTCATCATATTGTTTGGTACTCAGATGAGTATAGATGAGTTAATTTTCACCAAGGTACCTACTGAGCTTGGTGTCTATTGATCGTGTTAATAGAACACCACAGTAACTGTATGACTCATAGAACGTAAAGCTCTTCTTCCATTTACAGACCCAATTTAATAGAACATTGTCAAACCAGCCGCCTCAAAGTACAGAAGGCATTGCCATGGTTACAGTGTCTGAATGTGCCAGGACATGCCTTCTCACACCATTGGAGGAAGGTCAATCCAGCGAACATAACACTGTACTGTTCTCTCTCTCTCTATAGTACGTCTTCTCATTGAAAGCCATTTAATACATGTTTTATCTAAATGGTGTGAAGAGGACATTCTATTCATTCCTATTCTCAAGGCATTGCAGTTGGAGCACCACAATTATTTGAAATGGGTGCTACAGCATGTCTTCATGAATATTCCTTAGTGAACGAAAATCATACAGTGTATTCGGAAAGTATTCAGTCCCCTTCCCTTTTCACATTTTGTTACATTACAGCCTTATTCTCAAATGGATTAAAAAAATAATAATACATCCTCATCAATCTACACACAATACCCCATAATGACAAAGAAAAAACAGGTTTTTAGACTTTTAGCAAATGTATAAAAGAAAATCAAAAACAGAAATACCTTATTTACATAAGTATTCAGGCCCTTTGCTATGACTCGAAATTGAGCTCGGATGCATCCTGTTTCCATTGAGCATCCTTCAGATGTTTCTACAACTTGATTGGAGTCCACCTGTGGTAAATTCAATTGAATGGACATGACTTGGAAAGGCACACACCTGTCTATATAAGGTCCCACAGTTGACAGTGCATGTCAGAGCAAAAACCAAGCCATGAGGTCGAGGGAATTGTCCCTAGAGCTCTGAGACAGGATTGTGTCAAGGCACAGATCTGGGGAAGGGTACCAAAGAATTTCTGCAGCATTGAAGGTCCCCAAGAACCCAGTGGCCTCCATCATTCTTAAATGGAAGAAGTTTGGAACCACCAAGACTCTGGCTGGCTGCCCAGCCAAACTGAGCAATCGGGGGAGAAGGGCCTTGGTCAAGGAGGTGACCAAGAACCCGATGGTCACTCTGACAGAGCTCCAGAGTTCCTCTGTGAAGATGGGAGAACCTTCCAGAAGGACAACCATCTCTGCAGCACTCTACCAATCAGGCCTTTATGGTAGAGTGGCCAGACGGAAGCCACTCCTCAGTAAAAGGCACATGACAGCCAACTTGGAGTTTGCCAAAAGGCACCATAAAGGACTGTCAGATCATGACAAGATTCTCTGGTCTGATGAAACCAAGATTGAACTCTTTGGCCTGAATGCTTCTGGAGGAAACCTGGCACCATCCCTACGGTGAAGCATGGTGGTGGCAGCATCATGCTGTGGGGATGTTTTGCAGTGGCAGGGACTGGGAGACTAGTAAGGGTTGAGGGAAAAATGAACAGAGCAAAGTACAGAGAGATCCTTGATGAAAACCTGCTCCAGAGTGCTCAGAACCTCAGACTGGGGTGAAGGTTCACCTTCCAACAGGACAACGACCCTAAGCACACAGCCAAGACAACTTAGGAGTGACTTTGGGACAAGTCTCTGAATGTCCTTGAGTGGCCCAACCTGAGCCTGGACTTGAACCCTATAGAACATCTCTGGAGAGACCTGAAAATAGCTGTGCAGCGACGCTCCCAATCCAACCTGACAGAGCTTGAGAGGATCTGAAGAGAAGAATGGAAGAAACCCCCCAAATACAGGTGTGCCAAGCTTGTAGCGACATACCCAAGAAGAGTTTAGGCTATAATCGCTGCCAAAAGGGCTTCAACAAAGTACTGAGTAAAGGTTCTGAATACTTATGTAAATATTTTTATTGGCAAACATTTCTAGAAACCTGTTTTTGCTATGTCATTATGGGGTATGGTGTGTAGATTGAGGGGAAAAAACAATTTCATCCATTTTAGAATAAGGCTGTAACGTAACAACATTTGGAAAAAGTCAAGGGGTCTGAATACTTTCCAAATGCACTGTACATCATACGTGTGTGTTGGGTTGGTATGTTTATTGTCAACCACAGTTATTGCCTTGACTTTTACCTCCTGATGAAGTCAGTTGTATAGAGAAGTTCCAGGAAAACAACGAAAGGATGTTAAGTTCAGTCTAGTTTATTAAACTAAACATACAGTACTGAGTACAGTACATAACGTCATTTGCCTATTTAAAACAAAGGAAATGTAATGCAAGCCTTTACATACAGATCTGTGAAAGCTTAAGACGAAAGCAGTTGCTAATCTTAACTGACACTTCGTTCAATCTAAGTTGTTTAGATACCTTGATTTAACGCATTGGTGTCATCTTTTAATATAGACAATAGTTGGCAAAACAGTCTTTCTTACCGGCATAACACCATAGGGGTTGATTTCCATAGGGAAATGTCTGTAACACTGCATCCAACCTGCTAATATGAACCTGGAATTGATCTTGAAAAAGTTACAAGGTACATCTGTGGGAAGCAGCTCATGAATTTTCATGACATCACACATATCCAGAAAATGGACTGTTGACGCTCGCAGTGCTCATTAGCCTATTTGCCTTATTACTGTGCTGCGCCCAAACAGCCCTCCAAGACACGGGCCTGAAAATAAAATCATCTGATTTGTTACAAAAAACTCCCAGGGAACGTCATCACACCAGCAAAAACACATCTTGTTTAATAAGAGGCAGAGGAATAGGCCTTATTTACGGCGTGTTTGAGTCTTGCAACGGTGGGAACTTGGGACTTCGGTTTCTCTAATCCTCCCAAAGAATGAATTGGGCACAGTCCTTCACCTTTTCCTGAGAAGCCGGATCGCACTGTGTTTTCCGCACTTGGGCCGTTTATATTCCCCCACGACGAGAGAACATAGCCAGGTTCCAATGCCTTGGCAATTGGGGACGGCAGCTATTGTTTCTCCACCAACTATCTTTGCGGCGGCCAAAAAAACTCAACCGTCAGGGCCCGGCATTTAATTCCAATTTATCTCACCTTCCGCTGCTTGGCCACCTTAAATTTAATTAGCATAATGTATTGTCCTAAAGTGCTCTCTGAGGCTGGGCCATAAAAGGCAGCCAATCCCTCCGCCAGTGGAACTCTCCGAGGGGTGCTCAGGCTATTTCACACCATTTGATTCTGTTTCACAGGAGAAACCTCACCCGCCGCGTCTGCTAAACGTCCCCTTTCTTACTCCATGAATGAATGAGAGCCATAAACTACAACTGAGGGAAGAGAATAAGCCAAGGTCTCTTTCTATTAGCCCGGAATATGCACCATTTTTATTATTTTTTATAAGATTATATGTGCATTTGATGAACGTTTGTTAAGTTCAACCATCCCGAGTGTGAACTGTGATCTCGTTTGCCAGGGCAGCTATTGTCATTGAGCATCTAAGTACAGAGAGGACGAACAAATCCTCCCTTCTATGAGTCAGCAATGCTTTGGCTGTCTAAGTCACAGAGATCCTATTAAATTCTAATATGTAATTCTATGGTCTAAGTTCCTTTCTGAGGAAATACTGTTGATCTGTAAACCACAGTTAATCCTGAACTCTCCAAAGAGGACTTAACAAATAGATAACATTATCCTATTGATAGAACACATAACCTTCTGATTGATTCATTATCCTATTGATTTAATTATAATTAGAACATTACAGTCACATGCTAGTCACCCTCAAGTATACTAAGTGCTTTGTTTGCTTTGTGTCTAACCTTTTTAATATGTCTGTGTAGTACTAGTGGGTTCATCAGGACAGGGTGTCATACTCAATGTATTATTTAAATCATGTTTCAAAGGCCCCCTTCATCTTGACAAGCGGAGATGAGAGGCCCGTGCTCGAGCAGGAATGTCATAGCAACCTTGAAGTTCAGTATCCTCCGCCTGAATCAAAGTAAAATATGTCTACGCTCTCAAACAGAGCGTTCCAATCCAGACAGAATTTGGATAAATGCCTCTCCCGTTGGAATATGGAATGACATCTCGGTTGGGGACTAAAAGCGCTCTGTCAGAAACGCTCTTTTCTTTTGTCAGCCCTACAGAGCAGGTATGCTAGGGTGAGCTGAGAGGTATTGTTTTAGCAGGAGCCAAAGGAAGGCTTCTGTCAAAAACCACCTCGTTACTTGGAGACATGGCCACCGAACATTGCCATTACTCTCATAAAGCCAGACTCAAGCTGTCAGATAAAGTGCTGTGCAGTTGTGCAGCTCTGTCTGTTGTTTGTCTGCAGGACAACAGTTGCCCAACACCCACTCACCCCTCCTTTCTCAGAGCGAGCTGTGTGTTCGCTGGCGTACACTACTGAGACAGACCGCCTGTGTGTGTCTCAGTCTATGCCGAGGCAGAGATGCTTAGAAGATTTAGGGATCGAGCGTGTCAGAGACTTCAAAGGCAGGAATTGGGCACACATATATTCACATCATACATCATATGTAGAGGCGTGAAAGAGCATCTGTTTGAACCATCGAAATGATCCGTTTTCAAAGAAAACAACTATATCAACCAATGTTTGTAATTTCTAAACATGAATCCTGACGTTAATTTTTTATTTTTATGTGGCATATTGTAAAAAAATAAAAATAAATGTAATGTTTTTTTTAGTGGGTATTACTTTCCAACCCCACCACCCCTTCCCTAATAGGAGTAAACTAGTGAACAACAATGCTTAGGCCTCTACTTCCAGCTCATACATACTATATACATTTTATGGACACAGTCAATTTTACAATAATTCTATTTTGTTTGTTTTTACTCCTGAACTTCCTCTACCCTCAACCTCTCCAATCATTTTCATGATGTCCATTCGGTTTGCTTCTATATGCCATATCTTTCTAACTGTGCTCTTTCACAAAAGCTCTGTTATTTTGTTATTTGGTAAATCTGTTTGTTTCTTCAAAAGACATACAAAAGTGTCTCTCCCTAGCCTTCCAGGAAAGTTTGTCCATGGGGTTCCTGTATGTATAATTAATCTGTGAAATGCTGCATTTACCCAACAAAAATACAAAAACAACCTTTTCCTCTTGTTGTTATCACAGGAGGCCAGCTTGTCCATCTGGCTTTACTACAGCGACAGCACCGCGTCGCCTCTCTCCTTCTTCGACCCCAAGGACTACAACCTCAACGCTTCCACACTGGACGACAAGGTGGTGTCCATATCCCAGGAGCCTCAGCAGCGCTGGCCAGTGGTGGTGGCGGAGGGCGAGGGCTCTGGGGAGATGGTGCGTATGGAGATGACCATCTGCGAGGCCTGCCAGAAGACCAAGCGCAAGAGCGTCATCGCTTCAGCCCCTGTGTACGTGAAAGTCCGCTTCGGCCTGGAGGAAGACTCAGAGGAGGAAACGGAGAGCGAGATCGAAATCGAGCCAGCCCGTGTCACCAGGCGGCCAGTGGTGGACTCTAACCTCGGCGACGGAGGCTTCGAGCCGTCTAACGAGCAGCCGGCGAGCGTTCCCATCGACTACACCAACTTCCCGACCATCAGCAACCAGGAGAGGCCAACTGAGGGAGAGGAGGAAGAGGAAGATGATGACTTCATCCACGCGCCCCGCAGCATGACCGACCTGGAGATCGGCATGTACGCCCTCCTGGGCGTCTTCTGCCTTGCCATCCTGGTCTTCCTCATCAACTGCATTGTGTTCGTCCTCAAGTACCGCCACAAGAGAATCCCCCCTGAGGGCCAGGCCAACATGGACCATTCCCACCACTGGGTTTTTTTAGGGAACGGACAGCCCTTGAGGGCCCAGAGTGACCTTTCACCCCAGACAGTGGAGAGCCCCATTAACCCCCTGGAGGGGGTACAGACTTGTTGTCACGGTGACCACCACAGCAGCGGCAGCTCCCAGACAAGCGTTCAGAGCCAGGTCCACGGGAGGGGCGACGGCAGCTCCGGGGGCTCCACCAAGGAGCATGGCGAGGAGGCCAGCTCTCCCACCTCCAAGCGCAAGCGCGTCAAGTTCACCACCTTCACCACGCTCCCCACAGAAGACATGCCCTACAACTCCATCCCCATCGCAGATGAAGAGGACATTCAGTGGGTCTGCCAGGACATGGGTTTCCAGGACCCAGAGGAACTGCATGATTACATGCGTAGGATAAAGGAAATAGCCTGAAGGGGCGGCTGTTAAGAAGCACCCTCCTTAGAGCTTTCGAAAAATAATTTTCTTTCTATTTTTCTCTTTTTTCACTTTAGTGAGAGAGAACTTTTCACAAACAAAAAGCAAGGCCAACTACACTTCTGTTTTTGTTTGTTTTCTTTTTCTTTGCACAGTGCCGTTTCCCGTACACACCTTTTTGGAAGTCAAAAAAAATGTGGAAAGCCAAAGACTAGACTAGAGGATTTTAAACGCTAGTGAAATGGCTATGTCTGGATGTCTCTTCTACAGAGGTAGGGGAGTACACTCTCCAAGGGAATTATAAGCTTCAGTCGTGAGCACTGTTCCGCAGGATGAATTTTAAGTGCTCCGTCACTCCTACTGGGGGTTAGTTAGCGAGCCTGGTACGGACAGGAGTGTTTTTAGCAGGACGGGTTGGGTCTTGGCTCTGTGTTTGTCGGGTTGTCCAAACTCCAAGTACCTTCTCCAACAAAGAGGCCTTCGATATGCAGATTACATTTTCAGAGAAACAGCTTTTGGGACGCATGGTTTTACACCAACACGGAACAACATGATGGACAACCAATTGTCAAAGACGCTCATTAAAAACAATGTTACGGATTAATTTTATTTTGCCAGAGTAGGGAAGCATTCGTCAATGGCAGAACCTACTTAATTGTTCTTGGTACAGTACATGCTATGATTTCATTCAATATCATTACTGTACATTTAGCTACATTTCATACAAAGTCCAAGCCAGTGCCCTACTACTGGTTTCATACACTATCCTGATTAAGTCTAATGCCTTAGAATGGGTTATAGAATGGGTTTCACTGATCACAACTGATTTCAATGCTGACACCCTGTTTTCACACTTTGGGTTAGGGGCCAGTGCGGAGGGCAAGTATCCAAAATGCTACAACATGTTAAAGGTTTAGTTATATTGGAAAAGACAAAAGCTTGTACGTATATTGTGAAGTAAACGATCTCCGACATTCTTTGCATGAAATGAGATACTGAGGCACAATCAGCAATTTTCCAAATTTGTAAATGTTTGTATTGTAATTATCTAATCATACCTAGACAATACTAAAGGACATATGTTGTATCATGCATTACATGCATGCCGTGCCAGGCCTGCCTAGAACAGCCCTCCCTCGTATGTACATACCATGACCAGCTGAGGTCCTCTTCAGCAGCAACATTACATTGAACTAGTTAATCAGGCAGAGATAGAGAAGGGGGGACGTGTTGTCCCATCACTGTAAGCATAGAGTTTCCTCTGCAGTTTTTACTAAGATTTCCCACTGTAAACCTGAGAATTACAATGGACGAACTCTCATCCCACCGAAATATTTTGCAGCAGAAATCGTTCCTTTTTTCTTTTAAAAACACGGTCACCTTGTGTAGTCATGTTCCCCATTGAACACCAGCTATTTTGTACCGAGTCACGATATTAATTCCCAATTAACCTAAACAGAGAATGAGAAGTACTATGTTTGGTCCAAAATATGTCAGTAATAAAGCATAGATGCTGGTCATGACAAGCAAAGCGCACTGGTGCTGACGCATTGGGACATTGTTATGGTGGTGACGCCTTTTAAGTTTCTCAGGACTGTCTGTGTTTGATGAAATCTTAAATGTAATACTAGGAGTTTTGGTTAGTGAACCTGCACAAAATAGAATGACTGCAAATGATGAATGCAATGGGATTCCATTTGTAGGTTTGGTTATGTAGAAGCGTTGGCTAGCTAGAGTGTGATGAATTTTAAAGCACTGTGTGGGATGATGACTGATTCTTTGAAGGTCATGTTGTTTCGTACTGATCTGAAGATCTGCCAAGTTCTTTTCAAGAGTAATGAAAAATTAAACAGGATGGAAAAATGTTCAATCAGTTTTTAATTTACCTCTATTTGTGTGCTCTAAGTAGGGTGTGGATTTGCTGTGTTTTTGTTAATCACATGATGTGCAATATGACCACAATGGAAGAGCAAATGTCACCCAACCACTCAATTTGAGTTATGAATCAATTCCAATCAATTAATTTCCACACAAAACATCAACCTAGATGGCTGACATTTTCTCACTGTCCTACCTGCTATTAAGTATTTTTTTTGCTATTTAGTTAATTTGATTTACAGCATGCCATGTGATGTGCGTTCCAAGTGGTTTCATTGAATAATGACCTAATTACACAATGTGATTAAATCTCAATCAAGCCCTATTAACATCTAAAGGTAAATGGTCTTCAAAATCAAAGGCATAACAATTCAAGCGCTCACTTCAAACCCACGCTTTTACAAAGAAACCAGTTGAGGAAATGAACTGTTGGTTACAGCCAGACTTTTTTTTTTACCCAAAGTTTTAACCCCCATTTTCAACGATGGTGTCTCAGGATGATTGTATTGATTCTCTACTGTACTTTGATCATCAGATGGGTATTTTGTCTCTTGTATTACTATGGTCAACCCAAATCAGTACCACTGCTTAACAACAACAGCGATGTAAGTTTCTAATAGCAGCTTTTTACATTCTTTTTTTAAAAATAGTTCCCGACTTTCCAAGTTGATTATTCTTTCAGCGATCATAACAAATGTCTATTAAAAACATTTGATTGCTTCTGATCATTTTTATATGTTTCCTTTCTCCATTTATATATGTATATGCTAAACCATTTTTGTAATGTGACTTTGGTGAAGGTTTGCATACTTGTGTAGATTCTGTGTTTCTTCTGCGAGCTGCTGCTAGAGACTTTCTCACATGTGGTTGAATACTTTTGAAGTGTAACCCCACGTGGAGACATGGTGACCGTGCGCCACCACACTGACGATACTATGTTCATGTACAGAGCACTGTTCAATTTCCTGTATTCTCCTGAAAAAGAAAACCCTTGTATTTCCCCCTTATATGTAAAGTACTAAAGAAAATACAATACATAAAAATCATGTGTCCTTTCTACTCGTCATTGTAACACTGTCAGAAAAAAGTGTAATTGGGTCACATACTGTGTATGTGTTCTCATTTATTATAATTTATGTATGTATGCAGTTCCTTATCGTTCAATTTATCAGAAATAAGAAAGCCTAGAACTCCTGTCTGCAAACTCCACAACCACACACCACACCCCAGATCCACATACACACCACACCCCAGATCCACATACACACCACACCCCAGATCCACATACACACCACACCCCAGATCCACATACACAAACAAATTTCATTCTACCACCATTTAATTATATTATCAAATTAAATTAGTGAAATTCATCAATATGTGTGATTTATAACGACCGTTCAGGTTGTTTGTATTTAGCAATGTATCCACCACTAGCTGTTTGCCTACAAGGAAACATATGCAACTTAAAAAACAATCCCTAAATGTTCCAAAACATTTAAGTGATATGGAATGTCATTTTTACTTTGGCGACAGTGGCGTACAAGCACAATGTTTAAAGTGACAAGTTCTGTCATTGCAAGCAAAAGTGTCAATTATGAATTGATGAATGAGACTTCAGGTGTCTGTGAAGCATTCTACAAATACAGTAAAATAATGTGAGTCTGCCAACACACAATCCATCAAGCATACAGTGTAAATACACTGAGTATACCAAACATTAGGAACACCTTCTTTAACCTGTCTCCTCCTCTTCATCTACACTGATTGAAGTGGATTAAACAAGTGACGTCAATAAGGAATCATTGCTTTCAACTGGATTCACCTGGTCAGTCTGTCATAGAAGAGCAGGTGTTCTTAATGTTTAGTATACTCAGTGCATATTGTTGTTACACAAAATCCTTTGAATTGAAAGGCCGTACACTATGAAAATGTAGATGTACTAATGAACCTATTTGATCTTCAAACTTCACAAAATGTGTGGTAATAAAACAATGTGAACTCTAAATTCAGATCATGTGGAATTGGAATTTCCACAGCTTTTCAAAAAGGCCTTTCATATTGATTAAATCTCGATTATGCGCCCAATTATTCTCACTACACAATGACCATGTATAATGTATCCAAGCTTTACCATCCATCAGTTCTGAGTTAGTGACCCTTCAATGCATAGGCCTATATGAAAATAGGAGATTGGGACAAATTATAGTTGGGAGAAGTTAAATCAGAGATAGTACATTTAGTGAGATACCGCAGTCGGGCTTCTCCTCATTGAGAAAAGAGTCCTCTGTTCCGGTCTGACTAAATGGGCATGTCCTCTCGTGCCTGACTAACAGTCACCATAGAACTACATAGGTAAAGTCCTGCACTGACCTGATACAAAGTAGTTTTTCCCCGTTTGGTCAATTGAAGGGGGAAAATTTAGGGTCTTGAACTGCTCAGAACCCTTAGAACTTAGATCAAATTCAGTTCTAGTCTACTGATTGTTGCCTCACCCCCACAAATCTGACAGGTTTCCTCTAACGTCTCTGGTTAAATGGATCAGTGCATGTAGGTTGCACTCCTCTCTCTGTGCTCACTATCTCCATTTATTGTACCTAGGGAGCCTAGGGCGGACCAGTCAAAGTACAGAGGTGAAATGGGAGCCTGTGTGCCTGTCTGTTCCTGGTCTCCTACTGTATACGAGACACTGTATCTAGAGAATTGGTAATTTAGCCATCTGTCATTTAAGGCATGAGGAGGGCTATATATCACACTGTTTCTGTTGGCCTCGGGGTAGGTTGACCTTAAGTCTTTCCAGTTAGAGCTGTCTGATGTATCTGTCCCAGTGTAACCAAAGACAAGGTATTCATGCTATGAATCATTCGATAAAGTAACATTGACACGATGGATATTTAATGTGCCCACGTGGATGATGTTACAGTATATTGTTAGTAGTGGATAGGGTGAGGTGCCCCAAAATAAAGTATGTTTTGGAAAGTGCTATATGTGATCTAGACGTCATGAATACACTGCTGTAACTCAATGGAAGCAATCTCATACATTTCATTCATAATAGTTTATCTAGGATAAACATGTTATCTGCAACATCAAGTCGGAGATGGAATAAACACACATGA